GCGTCAGGTTGAGCACTGCACGGACGCAGGATTGCAAATTAAAAACAACCGGCCTTACCAGTGAGACATTTCTGTTGCCTATTAGTAAGTTCTCGGTATTTCTATGGATTTTAGCACAAAAAAATGAAATTAATTCCACCCCTCAATGGTATATGGATAAATACATGCATTGTATTATTATTTTACAGGCAACACCAAATTTCTTGGTTCTAGTGACCCAATATTCAGTGAAGGAAAAGTGTTATTGTGTGCTGTTAGATGACAGTGAAAGGAGGAGAGAAGAGCTTGGCACCGTGAGGGGAGTAAACGCGCAGGTTGATGGGGACGGGAGATATGCCTTTGTTGGCCCCTGTGACGCGGTCCGTCTCGGCCTCTATCTCTTGCCGGACCTCATCGAAGTCGGTGAACTTCTTCCCTTTGCAATGGAGGAACTCAGCCCATTCTGAGAGGATGGAAATAAAGATATAAATACGGGATTAGTGACGGCTGCACCGCATGTGCCTTAGAGCAAAAATAATGCCAATGTGAGAGGGATAAAAGACAAGAAATTAAAAAAAAAAACATTTAAAAAGGGGAGAGGGGGAGGCTGTGTTTGTGTGTATGTGTGCACGCTAGCATGTGTGGGCGTGTAAATGAGTGTGCGCCCACCTGCAGTGGCGCTGATAAGCTGCAGAACCAGGGGCCTGCGGGTGACAATACCAGATCCACGGGGCAGAAAGTCCCTGAGGAAAGACCAATCAAAACTCATCAAATCAAACGCTTTGACTGTGGTCAATGTAGACATTTGTCAAAGACTATACGCATAGATATTGGTGGCACAGTGATCATTTCATCTTGAGGCTTTTTTCCTCAGAAGTCTTAAAGGGGAAATATTATATAATATAATTACACCCTATGTGCAAGATGGTGTGGACCTTTCAATGTCACGTATAGTCTAAGAGCAATAGGAGCCATTTAAGGAGCCCAGCCATTCCTGTAGCTTTCTCCAGCAGTACAAAGCAATGTGACCTGATAAACAATAGGTCAAAATGAAAGAGCTGCACTGCTGACAACAAGCGCTCTCGTTTAAAAAACGATGACTTCACCATTTCCTGAGGGTTTCCACACCGACTTGTTTTGCGTTTGCAAATGCACACGGGACGATGCCACCCGCCCGGCAGCCGTCAAAACCGCCTCCTATGCTAAAAGTCTGTTCCGTGAAACCTTATTATCACATATCGACTCTCGGAGCTCCCTCATGTAGGATGGGTTAAAGGAAAAAAGGACCATGCAGCCCACTGCTTGTCTATTCAGCACTGAATCCACTGTGCAGAGCCAGTTCTGGACAGATGGACCATTACTCAGCATCACGCCTCTCAATGAGGGCTGCAAGAGGAAACATCTATTTATCCATCTAGAACTGAAAATATGCACGTTGAAACCGCACAAGAAAGGAACTACTTGGTCACACTGGAGACATTCTAGCTGATGATGCACTTCCACATATTCAGGGAGGTTGTGAGGCACAGATTGAATAAGACCCTGGTCAATTTTGAAGCAACAGTGGTTGAGCCATTCAAGATATAGCTTCAAAAACAATGGCTCCTACCTACTTCAACTCAAAAGCATCTTTCAATGGGAATTCTCTGCTCTTCTCTTTTAAACTTGATAATCCTATGTTTATATTTTTTAATCGACTCAATTATTCTAAGCTAAACTAGATTAAATGTGGGGTATCTACTCAAATATTGTAAAAATCCCTCCTGAGTCAGTGGGAACATTAAATAGCAGATTTCACAGATTGGGTACAAAGTTCTGGTGATATTATATCAACTGGCACCAACACAATGCTACAATAAATGATTCAATTTAGAGAGGTAGTTTTTCTGCAAATTCTGGTATTAAACTAACCGTTAATTAAAAGGTGCAATAGATTGACTATAAAACAGAATGGTTCCCGATTATTGAGCAGCAAAAGATTCTTGCTGCAGATATCACATCACATTCTAGCTTATGTGCAGTTCTTGTTTTTGGAAGTGGCTGTGTTTCTCTTTACTCAAATGAACACTTAATCGCCATGCTGTTATCTTTGTCCTTATCTTAAAATAAAATATAAATTTGAATGCCTCTGCTCATAATTTATTTGTTGTGGGTGACCAGAATCCAGGGCACGGCGATGAATATTCATGTGTGTGTTTTCAGGAGTGGGAGCCGACATGCACAGCAGGGTGGTGTTTTAAAATGGTCACATGCGGGGATATTTCTTGGCGCAATCTGCATCCTGTGTTGGACGAAGACCACGATACGATCATTTTCATGGAGACAAACGGCACTGTTATGCCCTCTAAAATCGGGAGAGATGGATATTTCTAGTACCGGGAAGTAGCCTGGCTGCATTTGGTGCTGCTTGGACTGAAATCCCTCTGGTACTACTGTAACCCAAATACTGCTTCCCTATAGCCACAGGACAGGGTTGTGTGTGTGGAAAATAACAATAATTCTACACATATTGAAACATAATTGAAGGCATCATCACAAGATGGAACAGTAGTCACTTAAAGCCGGGAGAGAGATGGTTTGAGCTCTGCACAGAGATTGGCTCCATAGGCCTCTTATGTCATCCTCAAGGTTAACAGGAGAAGGGATTATCCTATTTCTGGTGGTCAATTTTACCTGCCTACAAAGTTCTCCAGCACGGAGCTCTTCCCCGCGCTCTGACCGCCGACCACCGCGATCTGCGGCAGGTCCAGGTTGCAGGCCTGGCCGATGGAGCTGAAGGCATCCTGCAGCTTGTTGACCAGCGGGATCAGATCCTCCATGCCACGGTTTCCCATGGTGCCTCTAGACGGGAGGACTCGGGATCAGCGAATGAAAATGGAGAGAGAGATAGAGAGAGAGACAGAGAGAGGGAGAGAGAGAGAGAGGAGGGAACGTGGCGCTGCTATATTAGTCCGGGATATCGCGGTGCTTGTTGATGTAGGCTAGTGAAGTCATCTAGCCGCGCATTGCCCCGAGCCAAGCGAGGGTCGGAACGACTGTGGAGGCAGAGAGAGAGAGAGAGAGAGAGGTGCATAAAAAAGAGATATGAACAGACAGGAACAGACAATTGCGCAGTTGCTCACCACTACCACCGTAACCTCTCTCTCTCTCTCTCGCTCTCTTTTTTATCTCTCTCTCTCTCTCTCACACTCTCCATCTTGCACACATACAAACACACATACACACACACATAAACAGCGAGCAGCACGAAGCATATACTTTCAAGGGCATTTGGCGAGTGGCGCCTTGGAGGCTCCGCGCGGCGTCCGTGTCCTCCACAAGCCACAAATCGCACACGAGCAGCACTCAATAAAGGCAACAACAACAAAAAAAAAACCCAACCGGTCGACCGCAGCGTGCAGATGGACGTTTAAACACAAACAGGAAAACGGTGCAATCCTAGAGTACATTGCAGTAATACACACAGATTTGCAGTGAGCCTACCCCGCCTCAGGATTCTCCGGTTGTTTTCCGTGTCCGATGGTGCCGGTCGCTGTCCAGTGCTGAAACGACGCGCAGATCCCGCAGCAACGACGAGTGACGAGACCCTGGACGGTTATACAAGCACCACCTGCTATGGCAGTGCATCAGCCTGTTGTCAAATTCCTGTGCATTGATTGGGTTCGCCCGTGGACTCGGTTCCGGTCGGTTGAACGTCAGAGCGGTCTCATCCCGAACACAAATTTGCCTTTGACAGATTAATCATTTTTTTTCTCCCTCTCTCTCTCTCTCTCTTTCTTCGCCCCCCCTCCTCCTCACCTCTCCTCTGTTACGCGGTGTAATTGCGAAGCTGCGCCTCGCTCTCACACCATGATGGACGCGGCGGAGGACCAATGAAAAGCTCTGGATCGGAGACGGAGGCAGAGAGACGCGGCGCCCCATTGGCCGGACCGGTGCAGGTTAGGCTTACCTGAGCCCGCCTCCTGTTTACATCCGTGCCATTTCTGCCGCTGTGAGTCATGCGGCACGGCTGCGCATCGCTGAGACGGAGGAGTTGGATGTGCTTCCTTGCGGATCCCTGCAGTAGGTGCAGAAACCGGCCGTCCTAAATCCCATACACGTCGTGTGCACTCATTTTATGTCACCTTACTTTGCGCACGATAATATGACGGCCAGCACCCTTTGTGACTTTGACCACGTTTGAAAACATTACGTCCAGAAGGGTTCTGCTTTTAAAAAGTGGAATGCTTGGTCACTGCCGACCGATGTTGGTAGAGGTGATCCGGCAGAAAGGACACTGCCAATCTGCCTTAACCTCTCCAAGGACAACCTCTGCAGATGACACGAGTTTGTCATCCGCTGTATGTGAACATTAGATGATCTATGTCTCATTAGCTCATCGAGCCCCTCTACAAAGAGGTACAAGGAGGTTGAAAAGGGATCTGATGGGATCCTTCTGCTATGCTTTGGAGATGGGTCAAGCCGGCACATCAGTTGTAGTGAGCTGGAGTAACACTAGATGGCGATAAAAGTATAACCAAAGAACCTGTGCGTATGGACCTGATTTACACCCAGTTGATCTGTCATTATTTGCTAAAAATTCGCTACAAAATGATTGAGTAATGTAAGAGACAGAGACACAGTATCAAGTCAAATAAAAGCACATTGTTCGTTAAGCACAATAACGAAAATGTAAGCTAATCTATAGCTTAGGATATAGAGTTTTCCAGGGATGTCTGACAGGACAATGCGTACCTTGTGACGTTACCTGACAGGGACGGGAGCAGAAGTATCCAGTGACATCAACGTCCGTCCAACCCCTCCTCTCCTCCTCTCCCCCTCTCTCGCTATCTCAACCCTCACCTCAAGACCCTGTTTCTTGAGGTGTTTAGGACTTAAAAATACGGGTGGGCCTGTTCCGGACCTGTCCACCTACACACAGCAGGAGCAACATTAAAATGACGCCTTGGATGGATCAGCGGTCTCAAAGCTGCACGATGAACTAAAACATTTCCCTCATCCACATTTCAAGCAGGTAGTTGCATTTAATCAAGTTAATTTAGTTATTCAATTATTTGTTATTGTTATTGTTCCTTGCAACAGCAGCACCGATAGTATATAGAATGGCAGAATGGCAATGACACACACACACACACATTATTACTAGATAATACATGCACATGTACTGCAATTACACGCAAAACATGATCAAGAAATGTGGTGTTGTATAGTATCAACCCGACAACATAGAACATCCACTTAATTAAATAGAGGATATTGTGTGTGTGGGTTTGCGAGACAGATGCTGCAGTGATGTGAAAAACGAACAATTGGTCGAGGTCGAGGGAGACCCCCTAGTTACCAACATGGTACCATCACTGCATGAATCATCCATTACCCATGCTTCACTGCAGCACCGCGTTCGGACCGGGCGGCGCTGTCCGCTCGCCATGTCTGAGCCCACTAAGTGACCTTGCTGTGGCCAGCGTGAGTCTGATCCTCTTTATGTGCTGCAGTTGCCAACAAGGTGACGGTTGTTTTCAGCGAAGGCCTACAAGAAGTCACACAGAGTCCTGCAGGCACAGCTGTCAAATTTGATACAGCCTTAGATTTAAATCTGCTTACAGGGAAAGCGTTCACGTGACCTTGCGCTTTCTTCCTTTCTCAAATGAGATTACAGGGCAGCTGAGATAAGCCAAGGAGAATTATGAGAGCTCCTGTCATTTCCAGATGAGGAGGCACCGTGGTTCTCAGACTACTCATGTTTTTAACGGTTTGAGGCAAATATCAATGAACAGACCCACTTTTTTCTTGCAGCCAATCGGGCACCAAAGATGCTAAATCTTAGCCTGACTTGTACTACAGTGACAAAACTCTCTTGTTAAGACTGTTATCAGGGGGGAGAAAACAGTGGCCCTCATTACGTAACCCACACCTTTAAACAGTCCAGTCACACACTGCACACACACACTCACACACGACGATGGAATAACATTTTGGTAGGAAAGAAGGAGTTTACTGACACTGCCGAATGTGGGTATTATAACCAGAAGAATCCGGTAAACCCATACTTATAAAAACAGCAGGCCTGTTGGGTGATGCTCTCACAAAACATTTTTCATGATTTTTACACTATGTACTTAGATGACGCCGTGTCAAAAAAGACAGACACGAACTGTGGAGAATTCACAAGGCCACACTTAAAGGGTAAACATAAAGCATTGCATTTCTCTGCCAAACATCCACTGTTGATTATATTATGCATCTTAAAAAAGACGTTTTAAAGAGGTGATTAATTCGACTTACATTTTCTACTTTCGACATTATGATGCTAAGTACCTGTAGTATCCTACTTATTATGGAATTTTTACTCATGCTAGTTGTGTGGCTCTGGGGAGAAAATCCCATTGGCTTTTTGTTGAGGGAAACCCGTGCAATGCTAACTTCCTGGGTTAGCCTACAAATGACTACACACGTGCAGGACCGTATTTGCGGTGGCTACCACTGCTTCCTACCATCCCATTTGGCTTTTAACATATTTTGACAATTCCGTACAAATGCATGTTGAAAAACATGCATTTCCTGCAGCTCTACTAGATGCAACTAAAAGTTCAACCAGAATAATTCTCCAGAACCCCAATAGACCAACAGTTGACATGTCGGACTCAAGTCACATCACACACGATGATTGACATTAAGGAATCGATGATGCCATTTCATAAGAAATTTAAGAACCACATGTCACAAGGAAATGTCTGGGTGAGTAATGAGAACCTCTGGTGGCAACACCTGTATTGAGCCGTCGAAAACCTAACAACAGCCTCTGTGCTGCTGTGCACCCGGGGGTTTCGTGTGTGTGTGTGTGTGTGTAGGCTGGCGATCCTCTGTGATTATACCCTCGCAGTCGCAGCACGCCATTTTTAATGCTTTTCTCAGAAACACATGCCACTGACCCTCCCAAACCCCCGTGGGCCCACTCAGCTAACGCAACAGTAAACCCTCATTTTCATTCTGCACCATCAATTGCTCAGAATGAATCCAACACAGTGACTCACACGCGCTTCGGCAGCTCGCATCACAACGCGTGCTGCCTCGCTCTCCTTCACGTTGTGTCTCGCAGTTAAGTTCAGTCAAGGCTCGAGCTACTCTGTTTGAGACTGCGGCACGTCGTGAAAATGTCAATTAAACATTGAGGTGGGAGGTTGTGTTCAAGGTCGTTGAACCAAGTCTTTGTGTCTAAACGGCATCGAAAAAGCAGGAAGCCACACTGGCACTAATGAAAAGGCATGTTATGCAACACCTCACACCCGTAAGTGCACATCTGGCAAGCCAACAATTGTTCTGTGAGAGTGTTTTCTCCAAATTTGTTATTCGTCCTTCAATGGAAACTTGTGACGCCACTGTCTTAATGAGTGTGAGCTGACTCATCACCTAAATATCCATTAGCCAACCTTCCCGCTCTAGAAAATGTCTTCAGCCTGGCTTCCTTTGAATGACTGATCTATTTGTAGTGGCTCCTGGGCAAACCATCTCAGCAATCCCACTGTTTCTCTCGTTAGTTTTGTTTTTCTGCGATGTCCCGCCTCATCCCTGCTTCCTGTTGCGTAATATTGTGGAACTCACACAGAAAACCAACCCAGTAGTAAAAATTTCCCCAATAGAATTAAACAGTGGAAATCCTGAACTGCCAAGAATTCTGGGATTGTGCTTTAAAAAAGGTCTTTTGAAATAACTGCTACAATAACAATGATGTCAACTATTTTAGACGTTTTGCCGTCTGAATGTGTTACTCCTGTTATGTTTATGACCAGGGTTAGGTTATGAATAGCTACACGGAGGTCTAGTATCACGCAAAGTATCTATCTTCCTCAGTGTATTCTCAGCCCAAGCCGCGCATGTTGAGCACTTCAGCAGACGAGCCTCGAGTCTTGGCTCGCTTATCCGACTAGCATGAACAGAGAATCCCTGGGGAACAGGTTGCTCGCATGTTAGGATTCGCTGCTCTCATTTACCTGTAGATAGCGGAAGGAAAGGCTGAGGCATAGTTTTAAGTATGAATACCTTTAGTCTGCACTATTATGTGTTCAGTCAGATACAAATCCACAGCTTTCATGCTTAGTTTTAAGCCATGTTTTAAGCTTTGCTAGCAGCAGGGCTCTAGAGAGTTGCCGATGTCGGCCCATCTGTTCATAGGTCGGTCCAACACTTTGGTTGCGAGTGACATGTCACAGATTCTGTTGGATGAGTTGCTGTGCAATTGTATGGATACGAGCTACTTACTTACCTGTAGTGTACCGAGTGAAATGAATAGTGCATATATTAAGATTTTGGGAACACGCAAACAAAACAGCAGACAGTAAACAAGATGTGGAGACTTCAGGCAGGGAGTGTTTCCGTGAGTTTGTTAAGAAGAAAGCAGCCTATATTCCTGTGCCAGATGTGCAGAGGTGTGCCCTCAGCTCCTCTGAAGCACCAGTCCGCTTTGCAGTCGAGGCTGGTTGGCGACTGATGGCTTCAGATTCCTAGACTCTTACACTGCCTGGAGCCCAAATTTCACCCCGTGCCCGGGCCGTAAACTAGAGTTTTGCAGTTATTCACATGGTGTTTCATTAGAAAAATAACAACCCTTAGTAAAGAGCTCTGCGCCCGACAGAGAGTGACTAGACGCATTAAAAAAGATGCTGTCCAGTCAAAACAACCTGCCGAGACTCAGAGAAATAACGCTCACCGGGGAAAAGAAACAACATGTTTTTCACCGACCATAAGAGATTGTTATACAGTATCAGTGGAAAGAAGACACACACCCACCTACTTCCCTCCCCCGCCACACTCCTCGACCCCTCCCACTCAGTAAACTGTATAAATACCGTACTCTCACCATTGCTGGGATTCAGACACTGACCTGCACTGACCACAGATGCTCAGGTGAGAAGAGTGGGGACGCTTTACCAACCAAAGGAGCCGTATCTCTAATAAAACCAGATCCTAAACTCTCTGATCCTCCAGAATGTGGCTCCAGGTTTCTCTCCTGTGTCTGTCCTGCTTAACTCTGCCCGGCCAGAGCCAGGGCCAAGACCGAGCCTCCCTGCGGCGCTCCAACGACCACAGCGGGCTCTGCCACTACACCTTCACCGTGGCCAGTCCGGAAGAGTCCAGCTGCCCCGGAACCAGCATGAAACCAGAGATGGACGGAGTCTCGTCCCGACTCACCATGCTGGAGGCTTTGGTCAGCCGTCTGATAACGGGAGTGGATGGAGGCCCCAGGACCGGGACTAACGGCGAGGACGGCGTCCAGGAAGCCTACTCGCAGGTGACCAGGGAACGAAAGCAGCTGGAGCAGGACAAGGAGCGTCTGAACGGACAGGTCCAGGAGCTGCAGAGGAGGCTGGCCGAGCTGAGTCAGGAGGCAGAAAGCCTCAGGCAGAGGCCGTGCCAGCAGACAGACAGCTCAGGGGTTACTCAGCGTGACAGCAGACCTGCCAGCGGTATGTACATCGGTAAATAGGAAAACACATGACTCACCATGTGACCTCTTCTCGAGCTTTTTGAGAAGTTTTCTTCTTTGGGAAGCTGATATAAAAAGAGATTTTTTTTTTCCTCTTCTGTGTTGGTGTTTGTTTTTCTTAGAAGTATATTTGTCTTTGGGTATGAAAAATTGTCTCGCGGCAGCAGGTCAGGTTTTGCAGTTAACTGTCTCAGGTTGACTGCGGGGATTGGAATTTACAGCGCAGACTCTTCTTTTATGGCTCCCCTTTGCATTTCTGTTTAAGTGCATGTTATCATTTTAGAGGAGCAATAGCGAGGCTATGTGGGTGACCTGCTGTGCTCAGAGGCAAGTCGTTTAAATGTTTAACTGCAGATTACTACTAATATATACATATATTGTTTGTTTTTACTAATAATTAGCCTGAGTATCATTTTGCTGTTATAATACACCTGCACCTCGTCTCCACAGACCCGGCATTAAACGGGAATGGCGCTTACCAGGAGATGAAGGCCGAGGTTAAAGAGCTTCCGGCATCCCACCTCATTCCTGAGGGAAATCACAACTTCACAGGTACGTCTGGGGTTTTACGGATGCTAATGAAGCTTGTCCAAACTGGCCACCCCAAGTGTCAACGTTATCGGAAGCGACGCAAATACATAACTAATACGGTGCGACTCCCTTCTTTCTTCCAGGCTGTGGAGAGCTGCAGTCGGTGGGAGATCCTGTGCTGCACAGGAAGGCCGACGGCATTACAGGGAAGTATGGAGTGTGGCTGCAGGACCCCGAGCCTCAGGGCCCTCAGTACACCAACAAGACCGTGTGGCGTATCGACACCGTCGGTAAAGACGTCCGCCAGCTCTTCGCGTACGAAGACATGGATCAGTTGTCCCAAGGCTTCCCTATGAAGGTGCTGGTGCTGCCAGAGCCTGTGGAGAGCACAGGGGCCGCCATGTACCGCGGCTCCCTTTACTACCAGCGCAAGCGCAGCCGCACCCTGATCCGTTACGACCTGACCTCCGAGAGCCTGGCATCGCGGCGAGACCTGCCTCACGCGGGCTTCCACGGCCAGCACCCTTACTCCTGGGGCGGCTACACCGACATCGACCTGGCGGCAGACGAGCGGGGCCTGTGGGCCATCTACAGCACCAGCAAGGCAAAGGGCGCGATCGTGATTTCCCAGCTGGATCCCGAGAGCCTGGAGGTGAGGAAGAGCTGGGAGACAAACATCCGGAAGAACACAGTGGCCAACGCTTTCATGGTGTGCGGACGCCTGTACACGGTGGCCAGCTACACCGCGGCAAACTCCACCGTCAACTACTCGTTCGACACCGCCACCGGCGCCGGGCGAGCCGTCGCCGTGCCCTTCAAGAACAAGTATCGCTACAACAGCATGGTGGACTACAACCACGCGCAGAGGAAGCTGTTCGCTTGGGACAACTTCCACATGGTCACCTATGACGTGAGACTGGGGAGGGCAAGCGACGACCGCAGCTAAAGAGGAGACGAGAGGGAGGAACTGCAGTCAACAGGGCCGAAGAGCGAGACAAGGGGGTGAAACATGTAATCATCTGCATTGTGCTGAGGTAATCCCAAAGCTTGGTAGTCTATGCGTTCTGCAGCATTAAAAATCTATTTTTTCTATTACTATTGTAAATAAGATACGGCAACAGAAATATAATCATGAAGCAGATTAATGTAAGTGGGGCCCCCTGGTGATTATTAATAACGGTAATCGTGGTTTGAAATTAATCTTAAGTCTGTTTATAAAAGTTGACGTTATTTAAGTCTCAATAAAAAAGAAAATCAATTACACACTTTCTTGTCTGTGTCATACTTTCAACTTTTACCATGTAATTAAAAAAACTTCTCATTACCCGGAGTGGTTGATGAAAAATCATTATATTTCTACATAAAATCAGAGACAGTTCAGAGAGTAACGCCATACAGTATCTTTAGTAAAAACCAGTGGAGCCATCAGCATATCGTTAACTGGCGTTGAAAGTTCAACACCCCATATATACATAGCACCCCGTATATTTATAGTACTTCCGAAGCAGCTTGCGCAAGTGCCCATGTTCTCATTTGCAGCCATGTTCCTTGTATCCACTGCCCTCTGTGGAGAACAGTTTGCATCTGCACCCTGCGTAGCACACACACACACACCGACCTGCTCCGGGGGGTAGGGGTCCATCCTACTTCCATCATCTCCTGCCTAAACTGGAACCAAAGTTTAAAAGGCAGAACTAGAGAGGGAGTGAGAGGGTGATCTTCCCCCTGTGGTAAAGTGGCAGTATAGCCAAGACACATCTGTCAGTGTCTGGCGAGCAGCACCCGGGACGGGCTCACTAGAGCGGCCCGACCCAATGCCGAGACCTGGATGGATGCGGATTCCCCGACTGGGCTGAGATGAACGTGTAGCGTGGCCTGTGAGGGAAGAGCGGAACTCCACAAAGAAGGTGAAGAAGATGCCCGAGCGGTTCCGGGCAGGCCCACAACGTCTGACCCGCAGCATGTCCAACAGCAGAGCTGTGAGGAGGACAGAGACGGTGTAACATTGGTTTCTGTTGACGCAAATAAAACAAATAAATAATAAAACCCCATAATTTTAAAACTTAGCTTGGCATTACCTTTTAAACATGGCGTCATTGAATAACTATGGCTATTAATACAAAAACACATACCAATGCCACACTTGTTTAATTGTCTTTTTTTTAGCATCTTTAGCATTTCACCATAGCACATGCCTCCAAGTGGTAAAGGGAACTTGATTTTTCGCAATTAAGTATTTATTTTAAGACCAAATGTTACCAAACTGCCCTGCCAAATGCAAAACAGGATGCAGTCAATAATACGCTGCATGTGCTAAAAACAATGACATGGATACCTTTTGTTCCAATTGACTTAATAATAAAGCATCGAACAGAAAACAGGAGCCAAACCCAACTTGCCTTAAGTTACATTGGAGTCAGTCACCATTGATCACTCGACACACCTTCGCTCACGAAGGACCAGATTCGGCCAAAGAGACACAAAGGTACACGGACCCGGTCTGATGATTCACGACACAAGTCCATGCCCTGGTCACGTGGCTATATTCTCTTTCCTATTAGCACGTAATTAAACCATAGTGGAGTTGTACATGTATCGGGGATGTTTTCTGTTTGATTGTATGAGCATATATTTAAAGAAGTGGACCATGGAGTGTGCGTAAATGAGTGATTTAACACCGCGACAACTGTGCCAAATGTGACCCGAATGCGCCGCTTCCCTCCTGTGCGCGTTCACGCAAAAAGGAGCAGCGTGTGTAAAAGGAAGTTTCCGCCTCCTGTTTGTTAAGCGTCTGTCGGCAGAGGTGACAGTTCACTGTGAACATGCCGGGGATGCTGCTGGGTGATGTGCTGCCAAACTTCGCGGTGGAGACCACCTGTGGCGGAATGAAACTGCACGACTTTCTCGGCGATTCGTAAGTAACCTTCATTAATATTGGATATCCTTGGATGTTTATTGATCGGATTGGGAAAAAAAAAGCTCACGACGGGAGAGCAAAGTTCCTGTTACTGACTTCTGCTTTTGACGTCATCAAGCATCGGTGTTCAAACACAGCTCTATTGTGTGGTGGGCAAACGGATCTCAGGCAGCCTGCAGATGCGGTTTATGACCATATGCAACGCCCCTTTTATAGGGCAGAACCACTTTATACCACATAATACAAAGAGTCACGTCGTTTCAGTTTGGTTTTTGATGCCTCGTGGTTCGTGAAACTTCAGCTTGCAAGTCCCACTTACAGAAGGCCCTGCGCGTACCTGCCACGGCCACACTGATCACTTCTTTTATTTTTGAAATTTCAGCTGGGGAATCCTGTTCTCCCACCCCAGAGATTTCACCCCGGTGTGCACCACAGAGCTGGGTCGAGCGGCCAGACTGAGCAGTGAATTCAGCAAGCGCAAAGTCAAAATGATCGCGCTGTCCATCGACTCTTTGGAGAACCACCACGGCTGGACCAAGGTGGGATAGTGACGGCATCAACGCGTAGGAGAAAAGGAATTCATGGATTATGACCTCAAAAGGGCTTTTGTGTGAGGTCACAGTGACCTTTAACCCATAAAATCCAATCAGTTAAATCTTGGGACAAAGTGGACGTTTGAGCCAAATTTAAAGAAAATTGCTCAGATCCTGAGATATTACGCTCACAAGAATAAGATGAACAACCACAACATCGTCCCAAAGTCCCACAAAAGTAACAGAGACTGCTGGGCGGGTAGACTGCATGTCTCAACCAAATTCTTTATATTTTAACGCCACACGTATCACGTATTTATATAGGTCTGTGTCTCTGTACTAACTAGGACATCCTGGCATACAACTGTGAGGAGTCCGCTTGCTGCTCGCTGCCCTTCCCCATCATAGCGGACAGTAAACGGGAGCTGGCTATCGCCCTGGGCATGCTGGACGCAGACGAGAAGGACAAAGACGGCATGCCGCTCACTGCGCGCTGTGTAAGAGTCCAATCCGACTCCCGACTCGATCGATCTGCACGGCAAACATGTATCGAATGATCAGTAACCCTTACGGGCTCCTTCTCTGCGCAGGTGTTTATCATCGGCCCTGACAAAAAGCTGAAGCTGTCTGTCCTCTACCCGGCCACCACCGGACGCAACTTTGACGAGATCCTGCGGGTGGTGGACTCCCTCCAGCTGACGGCCGGGAGACAACTGTCCACGCCTGCCGACTGGAGGGTGTGTCACACCTTTGAAAGTGACCTCGGGTTACACCAAATCATTTTGGCGGGCTGACTTTAAGCGGTTAATTGAAAGGAATTGACCTGCAGCCGTGTAAATTAACCGTTTGTTTTTTTTTGTTCTTCCAGCCTGGAGACTGCGTGATGGTCCCCGCCGGCATGTCTGAGGAGGAGGCCGCCTCTTTGTTCCCAGCTGGCGTCTACTCCAAAGACCTGCCCTCTGGCAAGAAGTACCTGCGCTACACACACCAGCAATAGGAGACGGCGCTGATGTTCAACACTTACTCGTGTTGCACTCAATCCAGCAGCTCCCATTGCTGTTTTTTTTACTCCTACCAGGGAAAAAAACAAACGGAAAAAAACCTGAGGGTTGAATAATAACCAACGTCTTCAGGAATATGTATGACTTTTCTGTTTGTCAGTTTTTACGGCACCTACAACTCCAATAATAAAAGCTGTGATGTTCAGTCTGCTTTTCAGAATGATACTTTTTTGGAAGGATAGAGAGAAGATGACGACACAATATTATAAAACATAAGGGAGCTTGAAGCTTGAACTTTGTAACACAGAAACAATCAGGTTACGGTTACAATCAATGGATCAAATGTGTACTGAAGTGGTTTCTAGTGCTCGTTGCACAAACAACGCTTTGTCCTTTCATTCATTTGATCGGCCATGTGTACATGCCAAACGTATGAGCGCAGACCTATCGTTTGAATTATTTATTAACAATGCATGTGAAACGGGAGGCACTTGGTGGCGTTTAACCTTCGGTGAGAGCCGAGGTGTAAGACATCTGTTCATGAGCGTATTTTCAGAAACCTGCCTGAGCCGAGTCTACGCTGTAATGATTAGAACCGAGTAAACCTGATGAGCGATATCCAACCTCAAAGTGCTGTTGTTTCCCAGATTAAAAAAAAACAACAAAAAAATTGGGTCGTTAATTTCAGTGAAAGCAGCAAGGTCGGGATTTGTCTTCTCGTTTCCCAGCGTGTGGATTTATCATCACTATGACGACAGAGAGAGTCACTTCCAGCTCGGCCGCCTCCCCCCCCGGCGGCAGCGGCGGCGTCATCTCTGGTTCATGAGCGCCTGGTACTCCCTCTGGTGGGCCAACAGTCGCAGGAACACTCTGTACTTTCTCTCATAGAAGCTGAGGGAAGAAGAAAATGGGAAAAATAGTTACACAAAAAAGGTGATGGAATATGCAGACTTCTTACATTGCCTGGTTCCCTCGCGACTCACAATCCAACTTTGACTCGTTCAATATCGAACAATCTTTGACAATATGGGTTGCTGTAAAGACATTTAATGGCAATGATACCCAGTGGAAATTTTTAGCTGCACGAATGTACCCCCATTTATAAAAGAGACTTCTCTCTGTCTTACCCCCGGAGCTCCAAGTCGGGCTGAACAACTCTCCCCACTTTCGCCATCTTCTCCATTGCCTCCTAAAAACATAAATTGCGAGAACAAAGACCCCTCAATAAATCATGTGGCGCGCATTCAGTTCCAGCCGTGACCCAGTTATAGTAACTACAGGAGCCGACTACAGTTTGTGACTAATACGGTGCGGGGCCCTCACTGCGCTCTGAGAATTAAAAAAAAAAAAAAAAAAAAGAATCCAGCCGGTTGACTGTGTGCAGCTCAGAGGATCAGACACAACAATAGCCTGCAGTGATTGCGGCTGAAAATGGGTTGACAGGTGCAGCCCTGTCCAAACAATAACGCCGTATTTTTAGTATATCTGGCTTAAAGGCTCGCCGTTCTCCTGCGCTGCGAGCTCTGGCACGGAGACACGGAGCCACGGCAGCGTGACAGGCAAACGATTCAGCCACGGCTTTATGTCTTTAACACATTTTTCCACAAATCTCCTCTGTGGCTGAAGCAAGCGGAGCCGTGCGCTTTAAACTCTTTTGAGGTCAGTTTTATGAGAGTACAAAATAAGAGTATTGGATTGCATACTGCAAAATATATTGTAAAATAAACACTTTTTAAAAGGGGAGTTTAGAAGTAAAGCTAAATGACGAAATGGAGGTGTGTGGCTTGGAAGAAGTGGACATTTAGAAGGTCCTTCAAGGATTTTGGGAACCAAAATGTTTAATGGAAACAACTCAGAAGAAGGGCATTCAGAACTTACAGAAGCATCCATTTCATGCGATATCCACACAAGGATAATAGTATAATGGATAATATTATCTTCTATTTGCATAAAATATCAATGAAAATTCCTATTGCAAACTTGTATGATGTCTCAGTGTATTTCCTTTAGATAACTAATACTGTGCAAGTAGAAAAAGATTTTCAGGATGGTTTTCTTTGAGGAGTAACCAAGGAGATTTTTGTGTGAAATCTTTTGTAAGCGAGTTACATTTAGTAGCATTTTTATAGCGCTGACGCACCATCAGTGAGCCGTTTGGGACGGTTTGCATTTGCATGTGGACGGTGCGTCCCAGGGATATTCCCCAATATCAGCGCCAACTTTAAAGCCGGAGGATTAAAGTCACTTTTATGACCTCAACTTGTGTACTGTGGTTTCACTCCACCTGCACAGTGCTGTAGTCCTGTGATGCACACGCACCCAGGACTGCTGCTCCGACCAACACCGCCTCTACCTGGTCAGGCAACGCCACTGGCAGTCCTGAAGAGGACAACAGGAACAAACAAAAAAAGACATTCATTGAGCAAAAGAAGGTTCAACAAAAGCTTTCTTGAAATGTTGCGTGTGCTTCAGGGGGAATTGTAGAGAAGCTGCTTTTTGGGGTTACAAATAACTAAAACATTTTGGATAATTGCCTCTTCAGCCTAAGCGTCAATCTCGATATCAAAGCTGTCATCGTGACTCGTCAGCGTTTCCCACCTGTAGCGTTGGCGTGAATCTGAACAAACAGGGAGTTCTTGCTCAACCCGCCACACAGGAAGAGGGTTCTGATGTCATGACCTGCTTCTTTCATGGCCTCCAGAATGTGGAGAGTACCGAGCTGAAACCAGTGAAGAAAATTGAGCCGCAGTCAGGTTACAAGTTGATAGACCGTATACTTCAAAGCAGGGAATTTCAATGTTTTGAAGGGAGAAGTTTTACCAAACACGCTGTTAACGTTTGCAGCGATGCAGCGCATGCTTACCAACATCGCTGCTCTTATACGCCGCTGGAACGATTAATACTCTTTTTTTTAAAACAGAATACCATTTCAATTTTAAATTGGGTTAATGCCACTTTGTCTTGTTCTTATATCAATGGTTCTTTGTAATCAGATGTTAACACCACACTAAATTTGACTAAATACAATATTATAACTTATAGAAAATGACAGGAAATTAGGACCCCTAACACGGGAGTGCAACAGAATGGGAATCCCCGGATCCGCGCTTGACATCGAGTCGTCAGGCTGAGGCTCGAGAGAAAATCATGCACATTTTGAAACAAATGAGAGTGGACTTACAGCGAGGGCTTGCACAGTGGCCAAATAGAGCAGGGCCAAGTCATCCAAGGTTTGGGAGAGTGGCAGTCCGATCACCTGTAGTGAGTCGGTCATGTGAGAATGTCTCACGGCTGGTTAAGAGTAACTAGAGAGCTTTCATTTTAAATACAATTTGAATTCTCTGCGCTTACAAAACACTTAATTTAGATGTTTTGCTATTTGGATTCACCCGAAGTGTGACTGATGCTTTGTAAAGGCAACTGCTTCAGCTAGCTGATCGCTAATAGTGTTATCAATTGATTTGTTTTGGAGAATTGGTAAAAGTTGCTCAGACGTGTATGAGAACATTGACACTACGCTCGCACCAAAGTCACCTGGAGAATCCAAACATTTCTTTTCTCACTTAAGCATACTTAAGACAAAATGTCGCAGGGTCTTCAATAGCCTCTCCATCTCCGCAGGCGAGTGCGGTACAATCACATTTCTGGACCCATGTCCCCTCACCATGCCCTTCAGGGTGGGGTCCGCCACGGGGGACCTGTTCCCGTGGAAGTCAGGCCACACGTGAAGACTGGAGCCAAGCAGGTCCACGGTAGGACCAGAAGCAGCCATCAAACTCAGGTGGTTGTTCAGGTAGCTGTAGATGTTCTCGCCAGTGTGGGGAAATCTGGAAAAACAAAAGCAGGGGAATGAAGAGCTAGAAGAGAGAACATTAAATATGTTGTTGTGTGGACGATTATCAATCGGCCCAGAGGCCTGAAGACAATTTGACCTCAAATACCAGGAAAGTGTAGTTGTTACCTTAGAGTGTAATGACATTATTGAAGGCTCATTAAGGGTTCCAGTAAGGCCTGTCAGTGTGTCAATGTTAAGACACTCATAGAAGTACATAGTGAATAATGCAATTGGCAACTTCTGCGAGTTTTATAAATCAGGGTTAACCTTCTCATTTTGTAACCTCTTTTATGATAGTTAAAAATAAAAAATATTCACTGTAAATTAGTTTTGTATTTAATCTAACCATTTGGCAGTACACCCTCCGCCCTCAGGATGGCGCTCGGGTGTAGTTGGGAATAGCGTGTATAGAGTACACCACCTTACTAAGCTTCTAACCGCCCCAGAGCTGACTAAACATTATTGTACGTCAGCTAAACAGGGACGACAGCTGTGCTAGTAGGTCTTTTTGGAGGGGGAGGTTTGGGGGGAGTGGGGGGTGCATCAGCTGACCTCTGGCGGGCCTGTTCCTGGAGCTGAGCGTAGGCGCCGTGGCCCTTCACCATGTGGTCGATCTGAGGGGGAAGAGAGAAAAACAGTTTAACAAAGAGGATTAAATGATGACACGGCTGATGACACAGCAGCTGTGGCCCACAGGCTTATAACGAAAAAAGATATATTACTTTAATTAAAATAATAATGAACTGGTGATCAGTTCATTTTAATCTTTTGTTAGACTATTCATCTACAAAGTGTCAGTTTAAAAAAAATTCCCTTGAGTCACTGGAGCTTGAAAACAGTTTTCTGTTGCTGCACAGCATGAAGCGGGTTAATGAAATCGGACCAGGACTGACCAGCCTTCCTGTGGCACTCTGTCCTCCCTCGTTGAGCCACATGCCGGGCACCATGGCAGACAGGCAGGGCCCCCACACTCCGGGCACGAACAGAGGCTGCTCGCTGATCTAACGCAGGTGAATACAAAACGTTAGGTTTTAGTTTGCATAGTGTGTCACACTGACCCCCTATGGAGATATAAAGATACAGGATGCAAATTAGCTTAAAGCGAAACTCTGCTACGGTGTATTAAATGGTGACATTTATGTTTTGAACTATACACAATCCCTTTAAAACAAAATAGAAATATATATGTACGTGAATGTATAGATGCAGTTAATGCAAACACAAAAACAGTAAAACCTAGAATGTTTCCATTTTAGGTTACATTTTGTTATACCTACGATGATTGCATAACTGCATATTAGCATCAGCTTAGTTTTACACCACAAATTAATAAAAAGGTGTGAAAGCATCATGGAGTTCCTACCTTACGTACACTAAATTATTTTTAAGTGACACAAGGGTAGAGACGTAGTAGCACGCAGCTCACCGCCATGTGACAGGTTGACGTTCCACAGATCATCACCATGCGTGAGGAGATCGGCTGGTCCTCACAGGGCAACTGAAAGCCTTTTATATCTGCACCGATCATACCTGGAAAGAGCAAAATTACATTTTAAATCAGCTTTTCCAAGAATCAGAAATTATAATTTGCATTTTTTGGAGTTCCCTAATAAAAAAGGTTTGCAAAACTCCAAGTCAGGGAATAAACCCAATTATTTGCAGAGGAAACGCTTTCAACCCTTTGAAGCACTTCTTTAACCTTCACATGGAATTCCGCCCTGACAGTAACTGCTGGAACAATGTTTGCCAAGCTGGTTCGAGTTTACGGTGGAAGGTTCATCTTTGTGGGGGGGGCTTTACATCACTGTGAAATGCGTGATTACTAAAAGTGCAGAGTGTTTTAGCCTCTGACTGGTACGACAATGCGTGATAGGCAGAGGTCACGGCCGGGGGTCAGAGGGCAGAGTTCACGAGCAGTTTATCTCCCGGAGCAAAACCAGATGGTGGGGATTTGTGAACCGGAGGAGTGGTCGACTGCTGCCCTGAAACTAGAGAGTGCTCACAGACACAGTACTGAGGCACCGAAGCAGTTGTGTAAAAATGCCAACTCATTATTATTATTTTCAAGGCTTCATCACTACTATAACCAATGGCTCAGTGTGCCCTGAGCACTCGATTTGATAATAATGCTCCTGGCCTTTCATCTAGCACCACCAGCAGGCCAACATTCACATTTGTGCACGGTAACCCTTTGAAATGCACGGTTATCTATCACAGACGATAAACTCTTTGCTTCTGGAACACTTCACTGGCTTTGCATAGAAACCAGGTCAAATTTTTCAACCTCGTCCGCAAGATACAAAGAACTATTCCAAGAGCGTACAGGGGAATATTTGCATTCCCCTGAGACTGAACTCTAGTGCTGACAAGGCCCTGACCTCACCACAATTAGGTTAACCTTTATATTGCGCAGGGGAAATATAAACATTTGAACCATTCATGAAGTTAAGTGTATTTATGCTTCCTAGCTTCATCTTTGGACATAAACATGAAATATTCTGCCTGTCTTCTGAAGTTTGGTAAACATGAATCATCCCTGTGCAACTTACTGATGATACATCTTGTATTTTAAGGGTTTACAGTTTAATTTATACACTAAGGTTAATATAATATACCGAGGCCTCCGGCATGAGCATCAATGAGAGAAGCACCGACAGCGGTTCCCGCCTCCAGACTCAAATCCGCCGCTGCGTCCTGCGTGAGGCCGCCTCCCAACGGGCTGCCAGGGGAACAAGTCGCACTGCCTGGAAAACACGGCACAGCACGGCACAGCTTAAATAATGAAATAAGCACTCTCGTGTAGATGACGTGTTTTGAAAAGATCACAACACAAAGTGAATATTTTCTGAATTCTCTGAATTCTCTTAGAACGTAATAATAAGATTGTTTGTTAGTGTCTTTACCTATTTTGGAAAAGTTGTTTTCCAGGAGATCCTCTAGTCCGATGCTGGACCAAAAACCGGCATCCCATCCATCTGGAGGGCAGTAAGTCCATTTACACACCAGAGTACATAAAGACCTGTGAAACGTTTCCAACAGATCAACAGTATCTGGTGAAGACCAAAGTATTAAAAAAAAAACCCATACGTTCCATGATAAAAGACACATGCCTCAGAGGACGACCCAATTCTACCCTAAACAGACATTTGATACGAGGATACTATTTCAGCAGCTGAGCTTCATGTTATCATAATGAAACCGTAGTCGACTGGGTCACTTGAAATGGTGAACTCCTTTAATCCAGCCCTGGAATTCATAACTCAAGCACACGATGAACATGTAAATCATGGGAAAGAGGAAGCTTGAAACATCATCCAATCATTCGTAAACAGCTCACCGTGTCAAAGAGCCCGTCGCCTTCCACGAAAGGAAGTCGGGAAGGTCGAAGAAGTGAGCAGCTTTGTCCCAGCAGCTTTCTCTCAGATTCTGATTTTAAAACCAGAGACATGTGTGCTACTGAACCAACGAACGGGGAGTAATAACAGCACATGCACGTATTGGCAGACCTTAAAAGAGACAGTTCACACCAAAATAAAACTTATTCACACATCTGGATTTTTTATGCAAAATATTGGCCATAGAGATGTCTGCAAAAGAATTAGAGTTCCGAGACAAACCAGATATTATTTATTATTGTTGTTATCTTGAGTTAATGGATCGGGATTTATTGACAAACATATTGTTGTTGACTTTTTGCCATATAGTCCCATTATACTGGAGCAAAGACAGACTTCTCTCAGGCCGCTAGCTCTAAAACGTGGCAACTTAGACCAAAGCAACCCTTGCTGATGAATAGCAATACAGGCAAGAGGGAAATTCTGAATAGTTACTATTGGATTGAACTGCTTTTATCTATCGGATGCCTTCTGAGAAGGTGGATGAGGATGAAAAAACTAAAAACAACGCCGCACACATGTTGACCATCAGCCAAAACAGAGCGCGACAATAAAACGCACAGAGATCAGTGGCCCTGTGTTGACCTCGGTCACCTCTCACCTCTTTAAGCCAAAGCAGCTTAGGGGGTTGCATCTCTGGTGACATGACCCCTCCCACCCTGCTCAAGACCCTGTGGCCGGTGTTGGTTATACGAGCAGCCTGTTCTTCAGCACGGTGGTCCATCCACATCACCGTGTTCCTCTGTTTGTCACCTGGGAAAGACAGGAGAAGAAGGGGAAGATCAGGATATGGTGAGAGCAACGTGTAAATATACCAAATAGCTCAGGAATCGATCCAGGAGATGATAAATAAAACTAAAAAAAGAGTGTGATGTTTATGTAATATCTAGGGAGCATATTATCAGCCATTTAATCCGGTTCTGACTGTTGTCTACATTGAAAATAACATAAACGAAGCCCAACCAACTCCAAAGGTTCCGTATGCCTTTGCTTAAGACTAGATCCAACGAGCCAAGACTAGATCCAAGCTACACTTTAAAAACTCAAAGTATTCCTGCCAAAACAATATGGACATAAATCTATTCTATTCAAATTTTACAATCAGCTTTATAAAATCACAACTGATTCCACCTACAATAACTGATAGTGTACTATAATTAGGTGTGTGTAAATTGCGCTTTCCCAGCGTGCAAAGGTCAGGCTGTGTGTAAACATTTCACTTACCATCCTGACTGACTGGCACAGGTTGGAAGTCTTGGTCCAAAACCACTAGCGAGCAGGTAGCATCAAAGCCGATGCCTCTTACACGGCTCTTCTCCACATTTTGGGTCACTCTCTGGAACAGATGTAACATATGAGTTGTCAGATCAATGCTTGTATACATAAGTAAGATCTGTGGGGAGATTATAAGCAGGTCTTTAGGATCAGGCACTGCAATTAGTTAGTGTGAGTTACAGTTAAATATTTACAACAATTGGAATGAGTGATTTATTTCAAAACCTCCAAACAGCTTCAGATGGTTAAAACTTCAGAGCAACGCGTTGCCGGTGAGAAAAAAACAAAATGAAAATAATTGGATAAAAGTCACTTGTTGATAAGAGTGAAAATAATGCATAAATAGCTCAAATTATTTAGGTACAACAAATATATGAACTATAACATTAGCTATAGGCAATGAATGAACTGTTGAATTGTTAACAGCAGTAAATGCTGCCAAGCAGCATTTACGTCTCCTCTTGGGAATGCAAACATGACCAAAAGCAAACAATAGTTAATTTTATGAAGAAAAAAAAACGTAACAATATCCAGTTGTGATAAAATTACTGAAACTTAAAAATGCTCTGAAATGAACACATTAGGAACACAACATGTGGAGTTAAGTTCATAATGGGGCATTGGACTTTCATCTGATTGGAACCGACCCACCACGCCACCTCACCTTCACCACCGTGCAGCACTTGTCCCAGATCTCAGCGGAGGACTGGACATAGTGGTCGGACTGCGGTTCCCAGATGCTGATGGGCTCCTCCGCTGCGGTCTCCAGAAGGCCCGCCCGGGTCACCAGCGCCGCCCGCACGCTGGCGGAGCCCACGTCCACCCCGACGTAGTAAACCTCCGCCATGCGGACACGCGCTGAATGCAGAGGAGGAGCAGGAGCAGCAGGAGGAGGAAGAGGAAGAGGGGGGGGTCATGAAGACTAACCAGGGTGCGCTTTCAAAAGCACGTAATGGACGGATGTGTGTTGGCGCATGTCACATTGAAATGGACAGAATGCAAACGCTACGTCCTGCGCGTGACCCTCCACAAGTGGCGTTATTAAACACAGGAGACACGTGTACGGAAGTTACGTCAAAACACACGAACTTACCAGCTGATCAAAGCCTTATTTCAGTGCACAAAGCATCACTTTTGAGTTTTCTTATGAGCGCACTTTGTGCTGAACGAACGGACTTTGTGCCCGCGACGGAACGCGAGAAGGGACAAAAAGTGTAAGTCGATTTTATTTTCTCTTTCCCCTCTGAGTGGTTGAAAGGAAGGCAGGTAACCTGTTGCAATGAATTATCCCTCTCTGTGTCGGTTATCGTCTTGTTTTGTACTATGCAGATATTTAGAAGAAGATTGTGTCCAAAACAGACCTAAATTTCCAAACCTAGTGGCTGAAAGTGTGAGATGGAAAGGAGCCAAATATTAGAAGAATATGACACTGACTATTCTAAGTAGTCCAGTCTAACTATAATAACAACTATAAATAGGCTGAATGGAAAATATTGTATTTATCAAACTGAGTTGTGTGGAAATCTAGGTTTAGGAGCTGTGTTATTTTAGTATGTATTATTACGCCAACTCACAGGGAGGACGTAGAGGTAGATGGGTCAAACCAACAGGAATATCAAACAGGAGGCCGGGGTTTGCATTCATTTTAAGTTGCGTTAATTCTGGGTTTTCCATACATTGTTCACGTTTTAAGTACTTACCCCACTACCTAACATGGTATCCCAGTGTCTCAGAAAGTGATGCCAAGGTTCCTGACAAAGGATGACAACGTGCCGAGATCGCACAATGCAAGGGCTCTGCGATGAGTTAAACTAGATGCTACATGCATTGTGCAGTGATGATGCCCACCTGTGCATTTCACTCAAAACATCTCCCGTTTAAAAGGTCTGTGAAAAGCTGTGAGCAAAGACAGTGCACATTAGCTATGAAGCAGTCTTATGTAAGCAGAAGGACATGGTTTACTCCGACCGATAATAATCGGGTAGCGTTGGCTTGGCAAAAGGTCACAAATAACCTGCCGTCCCAAAACGCTGTAGTCGGCGTCCGACCTGGTCCCTTTTCCTCTAATGGGTTCTTTTCTCAAAGGACATCAACAGATGCCTGAAGGAAACAGGGCAGGCCGTGGTCAGCGGGTTCGAGCGTAGGTGAAGTACAGCTAAAAACCAAGCAGCAGGACAGGAAGAAACAGATGTGCTTCAACAAACACAACGTGGCCAGTGTTTGAAATCTCATCCGTCTCTCTCCCTGCTTGGTGTGTGTGTGTTTGTGTGTCGAGCTTGTGTGTGTATGTGTGTGTATCCCCCTGGTCCCCTGACGGTAATCAAAACTCTGCTCTGTTGATACATCAACACATACATATATAGTCTTTCTCTGAGTTTTGCTCGCATGAGTGGGGGAAGTGTTTCCACGGGGCCCTGGACCGTCCCTCCTCTGTACAACAAAAGCAGGCTTTTTGGGACCAGCTCCTGATTTATAAAAACTGCATGCAGTGGAAACAGCTGGCCCTGGCCCGGGGAGAAGGAAAGCGCTGTTATCTATTGGAACCCATCGGGCCGGCGGAGGGGGAAGAGCTGACAGAGAAACAGGAAGCACGGCGGGGACACAGCGGTACTTTGATAGGAAAATAGGCTGCTCCGCGCTGGGGCTTCACACAGGTGTTTCAAAGAGGGACACGGAGGAGAGTTAAGTAGACGGGAAAGCGGCTGTTTCATCGGAAGTGCTGATATTATGTTAGGAGAGGACGAACAATGAAAGAATAACTGGTTTTGTTTAACTTCATTAGCACAGTGGTATTAGACACACGTGTTTCTGAAGCATTCCAGCGCTGCATTTCTACTCCAGGGTGTCACATACTTCCAAATGGGTGTTGCACAGCCGTTGTTGTGAGGACAACGTGTCATCTCAAGAGTGTTGACCGGAGGCAGCTCTGGTTCTCCCAGGCTGTCTGGGGCTGTTCACTTATTTATAGTTGACTTGAGGAGAACACGTTGAATAATACAATGGGGGAGGCCAGACAGACTGGACTGCAGCTGTGCAGAGCCTGCAGTCACCAGCATGGATTATGAGTTGACCCCAGAATGTGATGAATACTTTTCCTGCATTATCCCGCAACTTATTTAAGTGCACGAGCAAAGATCAAGGGGGCAAATTATAAGTGTAAAGTACTTATACGGCTGAAGTATTCTGATGTGAGGGATCCCGGGACAGAAAACGTCGCGTGTGTACAGATTCTAAAGCCCAATGAGGCAAATTTGTGATATAAATTTGAAATATGAGATATGATTTCCCTTGTTAATTTATCCTTGTATTCAATTTAATTCCATGTGTTGGTTCCGTTCCAATGTGTATCCTTATTACATATATGACCTGGTTAAGTTATATAAATGTGACAAATGACATTTGACATTGTTGAGAACTAACAAAAACCAGTCATATATCTTCTATGTTTCCCATCATATTCAGCCACTAAAGTTGATTGGGTTTCTCAGAGTAGATATCTCCCCTCCCTGTCTAAAAGTGGTTAGAACGCAGACTCAAACATGTACACTTGTAGAGTGGCTTTCCTACAACTAAAGAATGCCTGATGCAGGTGTGACCTAATTTACCTTCTTATATCTTGAACCCTTAACTTCATCACCTGTCAATTGGCACTCGCTGTGCGAACGTGTGGCCCGAATGACGAAACACAAGCTCGTACGATACCAGACACTGTTGGTCTGACCAACACTACGTTTGGGTGGGGAAGTAATCATTTCAACGTGCTCTTATGTGTACTTTTATACATGTTCCTGATTAAAAAACGTCATACTGAGAGAGCACTGATTTCCCCCGTGTGTGTCGATCAAGGTTAAACCCCTCGGACCATCTGGAGCAGCCCTGGCTTTAGGACGGGTAACTAATAATTGAGCGGGTAACTAAATATTCAAAAACACTACGTAATCCCGGCGTACATTGCTCCACCGTCTGCATTACCTAATCCCAGAAGCCATCGCGGGGAGGCGGGGACATGGCAAGTTGTCAGGGCAACCTGCATGTCATTTAACACACTCCACCCACTTCGTCGCTCGCGGCCAATCGGAGGCCGTAGAAATGACATCATTGTTATTTTCAGTAGAGCTGCAGCTTAGAGGTGGATAAAGTTCGTCTCCACGTTGGAAGTGATAGAAAGTATTATCCCCGTTCGGACCCGGATTCGGATTTTTTTTTGGGGGGGGTGAAGGAGGATCCGTCGAAGCGGAAACTTTAAGCGTGAAAAACACCGAGGAACCGGCGAAGGGCGAAGAAAAGGCGGTTTTCGTTGATGATCACGCCGCAAACCAAAAGAAAAGTTTTCTCGGGACGCGAAGTTGTCAAGTGAGTTGAACTTCAACAATAGGCGGATTCTATCACAAGACAGTCGCGATCCAGGGAGGCGCAGAGCACATGTGTTTTTGTTGGTTTGTCGCAATAACAGAAAAGGAGAACAGAGCTCATTCAAGGTGATTTAAAAACTTTTATGTCCAGAAAAATGGAAGCGACGTTTTACGACGAAGCCGTGAACGGCTCCGGCTCTCAGCACGACGGGCCGACGGTGTATGGGTTCAACCCCAAAACCCTCAAGCAGACCATGACGCTCAACCTCAACGACCCGAAACACTTCAAGCCCCAGCTGAGCGCCAAGGCCCTGGACATCCTCACGTCCCCAGACGTCGGCTTGCTGAAGCTCGCCTCGCCCGAACTCGAGCGACTGATCATCCAGTCCTGCACCGGGCTGACGACTCCCACCCCGACCCAGTTCGTCTGCCCCAAGAACATCACCGACGAGCAGGAGGGCTTCGCGGAAGGCTTCGTGAGGGCCCTGGCGGAGCTCCACTACCACCAGCAGCCCCCCTCCGCCGCCTCCGCCTCTTCCTCCTCCTCCTCCGCCGCCGCCCACGGTGACGCACAGACGGGCGCGAGCGGCGGCATGGGATCCGGCCCCGCCGCGTCCGAGAGCGACGGGATTCCCTTCAGCTGCACGGCGCGCACCGACCCGCCGGCGTACACCAACCTGGGCGCTTTCGGCCGCGCCGCGGGTTCCGCGTGCGCACCGGCCGGCGAGAGGAACCCGCCGATGGGCTACGCGTCCGGCCCGCAGCCGCCCCACAGCAACATGGACCACCTGGCGGCGGCGGCGGCGCAGCACTCGCGGCTACACGCGCTGAAAGAGGAGCCGCAGACGGTGCCCGAGATGTCCGGCGACACCCCGCCGCTCTCCCCCATCAACATGGAGAAGCAGGAGCGAATCAAAGCGGAGAGGAAGCGCATGAGGAACAGGGTGGCCGCGTCGAAGTGCCGGAAAAGGAAGCTGGAGAGGATCTCCCGGCTGGAGGACCGGGTGAAAAACCTGAAATGCCAAAACACGGAGTTGGTTTCCTCCGCCAACGTCCTGCGGGACGAGCTGGCGCTGCTCAAGCAGAAGGTCATGGACCACGTTAACAGCGGCTGCCAGCTCATTTTGACGCAGCAGCTCCAACCTTATTAGACCAATATGGGTATACAAACAACAAGAGACATTTCTTGTGGACCAAATTGAGCCATGCAGGGGAGCCCCTGCGTCTCTGTGACATTATCCACCAAACGGTCCGCCCAGACTGAAATCCACTAAGTTTCTGCAGACAAATAGCAAGAATGGACACTGATGAGATACTTGTAATTGCTCAGTGCGATGAATTATTACAGAGCAGAGGCCACCCGACGGACGGACAAAGCACAGGGGCCGCATTCGCTTCATATACCCCTCTGGTGTGGCTTAAGATTTCTTTTTGTTCTTAATGTTCCTCCCCCTCCACTAAAAACTACAACATGCATTCATTCAAAAAAATGTAGCATGGTGTTTATACCTAAAGCTAATATGTCGTCCCAGGAAGCCTTGCTGTGTGACAGCGCATGTGTGTGATCAGATTGCAAATTGACAAAAAAAAAACACAGTGAACGAGGCGTTTCCCTGCAACACACTCCTCCCCCCCCCCCCCCCGTGGCAAGTAACAATTATGCATAAATACTTTCAGGACTGAGTATCCCCCCCGCGACTACCCCGCATGACCCGACCGACACTTAAAACCCGAATTACACCTTTTCGCGAGGACTCTTATTGGTGTGTGTGTGTGCGCGCGCGCGCGTAGCGTTCCCTGACATAACCCTGCCTTACTTTCTTAACCCCCTTTTTGTTCATACAAACTTTGATATAGAACCCGAAGTAACACTTTTTAATATTTGTATGTCTTTTGAGCACTTTCCGAACTGTAAATATGATCAAATAAAAATGTTGGGACACGCGTTGTGTGTACGTATTTATTTTTTCTCTTCTCTCTCCTGAATAATCCGATCGTCGAACACGGTCGTGTAGCGGCTCACGGGTTTGTTATTGAGGGACTGGGAGGCGGGGCGGGATGGTGAGTCACCAGTGGACGTGTGTCGCGGCTCGTAATGGTCCGCTGGATCCGCGCGGCCCGCTGATTGGACGGCGAGGTGTCGGAAGTGAGCAGCAGGCGGCCAAATATGGCGCGAGGTCCACAGTGCGCACTGGGACGGCGCGTGAGTCACGGTCCTCCCACTACAGCTGGTGACAACCTACAGGGGAAACCTGCGAGCCGCCAGCAGATCTGTTTACACACTTTGGGCGTGTGTTGAGGTACACGAGAAATAAAGATTGATGTGAACATATTCTCAATTGATAAACTTGTACCGTGGAAAAAATAATATTTATTTTCAAAACTGTAATAGACAAAAGGGGCTTGTGTGGGAAAACACACACATTTTAGCCTGAACAAAATGCTACATATAGATATTGCACCGACACACAAAGGCTTTAGGTTACACACATTGCAGACCACCAACACTGACAAATTCTGGCTGGTCTTTGAACGCGACAGAATGCAGTAAATGTTTCAGGGATACGTCGGAGGCAGATCCGAGGCATGTTCACGAGGGCCGTGACGACACAGGAGGCAGCTGTCCGGCACATTTCAAAAGGACCCTGCACCCACCGTAAACCCACCTTTACCCTCAGGACCATGTGCGGACAGCGATTGAAGGTTGACAATTTCTCAAATCAATCTTTATCCATTTTATTCGTGAATCAAGCTTGATGACCTCTACGCTGCCCCCAGCCTCCACTGGTCCAAAACACTGATGCAACCTGGCCAAATAGGTACTTACTTTTTCTGTCCAGTGCTCCACCCGCTGTTATTGCCTAAAATGAAATACCTTCAACATTTTAAGAAAAGAAGAAAAACACTAAACAGTTTGACCATCAACAGTCCAATGATGGTCGGTTGACGGCCAAAATAATAACAATTTTCCAGCTTCTGGCAGGTGGGCGGCGACAGACTTCCCGCTCTGTGTCCAATGTCTAACGATTCAGTTTAATCTTTCACGACTCGGGCGCTAGCGCTTTGTGCAACAGGGAGGTGCGGTTCCAAGTATTATGAAAAAAGGAATTCACGACACACTGTCCCCCGTGCACGTCCATGTTTGGGGTTGTCTTTGCATTAGGTTCCCCCGGTTCACGTGCAGTTACATCAGAGGTTCTCAGCTGACGAGCAGGCCCTCCTTGGCGGCGAGGCGCTGCCGGTGGACGTGGTCCTGCTCCAGTTCTTCGTGGCTGGGGTGCCAAAGCCGTGACAGGATGCGCTCCATGTTCAGGGCGTACATAGTGTGGGAGGGCATCACACCGTGGTGGACCTACATGAGACAAGTGTTTCAGGGAGACATTTAACCATGCAAACCGCTTGTGTAGAAAAGGGCAGACAGGAATAACGTATTTGAACAAATTCAGTAATAAACATTGAGGTCTGAGTGCTTTTCACCAGTACGATCAATGAGAACATTTAAATTGAAATACATTGAAATAGCTGAAACATCTACCACTAATGATGAATGCATTCAGTGTGGATTAATGGCAGTGTTGTGTATGTTAAGGATAAATACAATCATTTTCTCAGTAATTAAGCATTAAGTACACACTCATAAAAAAGGTGACAACGGTTTTAGTTTTTGATAAAAGGATCAAATCTGTCTTTTTGAAGGCGAATTTGGCCCCAAGGGCCGAGAACGTTTGTGAACACCCGTCTCTTACCTGTAAAGCCTCCAGGAGGTCAAACATGTTTATTGGAGGGAGGGGAGCAGGGAGAGAACCAGCAGAACAAGCCAATAAGTGTACAGCTTGTTGCTCTGCCTCATCGGGTGACACTTGAGGTGGCGGGCCAGTGGCGAAGGAAGCACTTGGAGGGGGACTGAAAATAAGAAGTCAAAATTAGTATGGACTGAACGACGCGCCCTGTACTACAACTACCTTTTAATACCAGCAGCAGAAACCTGACCTAAGAGCTAACACGGTCGTCCCTACCATTCAGTAACACTGTGGTAAGCGGCAAGGCTGTTTTTTAGATACGGCTGCGGCGTCACATCGCTGCCAAAGGCGTACGGGAATCGACCATCTCGTAACCTATAAGCCTTCCTCCGGGTGATGACAGCAGTCAGGACGTCTTTCAAGTGGTGCTGCAATAAATCAGAACGGCACGTCAGGCTTGTCACAATCGCCTGGTTAAGCAATGCGGTCAGTCACGATTAACGAGCCGTACAAAAATATCTCCCCATTTGTCAATCGAATTAAGGAAATGTCAAGTTCTACAATAAAACAACCATGTTAAAAAGTACCAGCACAATCTTATTTTTTCATTGCGTTGCAAGCTAGGAGGCTAAAATATCTGGACCATAATCAGTGATCATTAAAAGACCACGGCCAACAGAAATTAATTTTTTGTTTTGAGAACAGAATACAATTTGTACGAATTTCCAGAACAAAGCGACGGAACAGAGTACGCAACACGTTCTGTCGTACACATTCTGCTAGATTACAAGACCTTGTGATTAGTACAACCTTGTATGTGAAATCCACTAAGTAACAGTACATGATGGCAACTTGCTTCCAGAGTAGAGCGAAGCCAGTGTCTTCCCTCTCAGTGAACGGCGGCGGGGTCTGTACCTCCTTTTTCATGTTTACAATTGTACAATTTAATCTTGTAATAACCGGTGGACTTGACTTAACATTTCGGTGCGGACAGCTTCTACACACCTCCACAGCGTAGATCATGCTGCTGACGGCATCGTCTGTTATGTTGTCCAGGTTCAGCTCAAAGGCCGTCACCATCATGCGCGCCTCCAGCTGGCCTCGCGTGGGCAGCAACAGAGTGTGGGCACTGAGACGCATCTCCTCCTCCTCACCTCCTCCCACCTCCCTGGGGCTGAACGGCTGGGCGCCGCTCAGAGGGTTCTGTGGCTGGAAACGATGCTGAAGACATACGAGTGTCCAAATGATTTAGATAGAACTTTGTTGCACCCGACCGTTACAACCACTTACTACTACTTAAGCGCATACCTTATGACCTTTTTAAACAGCGTTTCTGTTAACTGACCAAGCCTCTGCCGGTACAAATACGAGGTTAAGTACTTACATCAAATTTTTGTCTGGAGGAACATTTCTTCTTTCCTTTTGGTTTTCCAGGCTTTGAGGCTAAGCTGCCTTGCCACTGTAATGGTCCTACGCCCTCTGGAGGACAGTAGAAGAACACAAAAAACATAAAAACAGATCATATTGTCCCTTTAGTTAAATGTGCTGATATACAGTGAGTGATACAGTCTTTGATCATTAAGTTACATTACTAAAATCAAGGAATTTAACAACATCAACGTGTCTGAAACAACCCTTCTCCAATACCTTAAGACAATAGAATTACTTTAAAACTAACTCATTTTTAAAAAAAGGTACTGTGCATTTCAAAAAAACATAGCATGGACACAAAAAAAGCTCATGTGCAGTCTCATGAAACAATGTGTTCGTTAAGGAACTTCACCTGGTGTGGACACAATGATTTGGCAGCGTGTGAGAATGGCCAGGAGAAAATCATTGTGAACATGGACTGTGGGAGGAGAATGAGAGAAAGACAAATAAGCAGCACTTCCTTACAGAGCATCGATCACTCAACTTGAGGCATCCTTTGCTTGCTTACTAACCATTCTCCTGGGCCAAGAGACGACGAGCCTCGATGTCAAACTCCTCCTTGCTGATTTTTTGTTTGAACCACAGCTTCAAGTTTGCCCAGTAACTGCATGCAGACAACAAACCGAAAACATCACAACACACACACATCTTACTCCAGGAGTTAAGATGCATTTACTGCATGACTTTCATTTAAAATCAGTCTCTTTATATCTCACTTTCTCGCTCTTTTAAATACAGTTAGATAGTTTTCTCTTAGCGCTGTCATAAGTCGAAGTATAATTAAACTACATTTACACAAACCTACAAAAACGTTAACGTCACAAATAAGAACACCATATTTAAATGTCTCACATAAAAGTACTGACTAAAAGCAAATAAATATCGACTATAACTGTTGCTGAGGGGAAATGCTGCAAACATTAGCAAGTGATAGCAAGCTGCTACTCCCCACGAGCTAGCAAAGGGCAGAACTACTTTGCATTTCAACCGCAAACTAAGAAAAACAACGGAGAACAAACAGCACATATAAAAAACACACACAGAGAGCGTTGAACTTACTGCTTGACGTTATCGCCAATTGCATCAGTTAAATTTTTCTTCGCAATCTCAAGCTCGCTAGCATGAGCCGCCATGGCGTTTATGGAGTCCTACAACGACGTCATCATCCCGCGACACATACGTTTAACGCTTTTTTGTTGTTGTTGTACAGGTTTTTTGAAGCACATAAAGAGAGGTTACATAAGAGTGTTCTCCCTAGCATTAGCTATACATTTAACTATAACTCATCAATATATTTAGGCGTACATAATAGGAATGGGAGCTGGTAGATGGTAAGGTCCTTTGACCAGACAAAAGCATTTGTATGTGAGACTAAAGTTGTTATAAAAGTTTCACTGACAACCCACCTATCCGAACTACTGCCTATTTTACCTGTTTTATTGTGGTATCCACACAGAAACCTATTAAAATTACTTCACCACTAGGTGGTAGCATAATATAATTTAAATGATGTCTTTAAGAAGGAATCCCCGCTTTGTTGCTGCCATCAGCTTGTATGGTTCCATGAGCTCTCTAGATAAAGTGTGACTGAGTCAATATCAAAGTCTGATCAATGTAAGAAATGTCAGTGGAGAAAAAAGTTTATCCCGAGGGCACTGAGCTGTGATAAAACATTCTAGTTCACATGTCCTCCCTGTAAATGTATTTTATTTGTTATTTTCTTGTTGATCTTCAGACTTTTTACTGGTGACGTCAGTAAACTTAAAAATGGGTATTTGGACTCACTCACTCCCGATATATACTTTTAATGACCTCTGTAACCTCCTTCCAATAAAATGCCAGCTGCTGGAATATGGGTAGTTTTAATACAATTGGTGAAAACGGATTTAGATAAACATGCGGCACATTCCATTTTAACCACGGAAATCCATGAGACATGAATCATCCCCGGCTGGCTCTAATTTAATTAGACTTTCCATTACCATCCCTCCAGACAGAGATCAAGACATCAACCCCTTTTTTGATTGATGTAAATATTTGATATCCATCTTTCCATCTCAAATTTTTGTATTACAATTTCTACGTCTGACTTTAATTTAGTCTTTCTTTATTTCAGTATCGATAAAATCAATAGTGCAAAAAATCCTTTTCTAACTATATTTCCTCCGCAGCTGAAAGAAGAAAAAAAACCCCAGATAGGAGCGACTGCTGTGCTTTTTTATTCTCCACTGGGCCTGATGTAAAACATTTCTGTGGTTCCTGTGCTTTATGACTATGGCTCACGCTTCTCCTGAGCCAGTTTAGAGCGGGGAGCCCCTTTTGTTTTTCACAGTTTTAACTATGCTGCAGAATCAGTTCAGTGGTCCTTTGGTTTGGTCTCTCCAGGCGCTTTACAAAAGAGATCCATTTGATAAATGGTTTCACGGTTTGAATCTAGAATAAACAAGCTTTTCATACCAACCACACAAACTACGATAATAATCAGAAATTCTGGCACTAATAGATGTATTCAACAGTTAGTATACGTATAGATAAAACTCAATGAGGCTCCTTTGTTTGTTTATTTCTGAGTTCAATAGGTGCCTGGACTAACTTCCTTTAGACAAAGAATAAGAATTTGAATTTGAACATTCTCAGCGCTCTCCTGCTTTAAACAAAGCATCCCTCTGCTGTTCATTTTAAACTAATATGTGAGAGTGGAAACTTCAGCTGTCTGCAGCTCAGTGAGCCTTCCCAGATTCCTCCAAATGATCCTCCATTTTAAACCAATGTCTGTTAAGCTTTAAATCAAAAGAGCACGTAGGAGCAGACTGAGCAATGGAGTTGTTTACCGTTGGGCAAAAATGAGTCATGGTGCTTATTTTCAAAGAAAACAGCGCCACATCCTGCATGTTGACTTTCTGGTTGACTGGTTTGAAGGCTAATGAGTCCCTCTCCTGGACATTCCCCCAACAGCAGATGTCTTTCAGCAAACAGCAGCAGAGCCAGGCTCTTCCACGAATCTTCCGAGCCTGGTGCCATCCCGGTGGTAAAACACGTAGACAGCGAAGCTTCACTTTGTGACAAAGAGGGCTTTCACCGTAAATCCTCAAGTGGGTCTCGGAGGACCACACTGTAGCGGCGCTCGGCCATCCCCAGGCTGTCGGCCTGGTATTCGAGGCGGTTCGGCCCTGAATGCGGTGCCCTCACCAGAGTCAAGGATGTCACCTTCTTTCTTCCGATGTCTGGCTGCACAGGAGTTTGTTTTTTTGGGGCTCGTCGTGTGTTTCCATGAGCTCACGGGGCTGTAAGATGTAAGGGCTCAGTGTGTGTGTGTGTGGTGGGCCGAGTGGTTGGAAGACTACGGTTAGGGCTCCTGGTGATGGAGCGTCCCGTACCTACACTCTCAGGGGTTTTTTTAGGCTCAATGTCACAAAACACAGTTATAGGTGTTCATTAAAACACCTAGAAGAGAGCGCCAGAGTCCGTACATAAGCTTTTCATGGCTCAAAGTTAAAATAACACCAACATACGCTCTTAAGCTCACCATCAAAATGTTTTATTTGCTTTGTTGAACACTTAAAAAACAAGAACTGTAAAATAATTGTTTTAAGGGGGTTCTATGGGTTGGACTGTTTTATTTGTAGTAAATTGGTGCAGTGACAGATCAGCCTTCAAGTAACTGCTTGTGAAACAACTTGTGATTTTTACTTTTTATTTTCTGTAGATGTAAGACAATCAAAACGTGGCTTGTTACACTGGGACTTTTAGAGGTCCCGGTGGGGTGATAAGAAAAAAACAAATCCGCGTCTTAATGCTAACTTAGTTGCTAAACTTCCTATTCATATTTACCATCCAGGCAATAGTGGGAGGCCAATGATTTCATTTGACTTTTGGTACAAACATTTTTTTTAAAGTGCACTTTCCCAAAAGTAACACTTTAATCCGCATATGAGGGTATTAACTCTCAATCAAGTTCTATGTCAAACAACGTATTTTCCAAAATATCCCACTATTCTTTTTAAATAACAGCAGTGAATGTAGCCAAATGAAAGTACCCTCAGAAAACAAAAGCTCGATTTACCATAAAGGAAGTTTGAGGTTTAAAAGAGTAGACAGTGATAATAGTCATGCAGCTCATGCTGAGAGCCGGACTGGGGACTTGTCATCCACAGAACGTGTCACCACTTTAAAGGAGACGCCTCTGCGATGTATTCGTCGGTGTCTTTGAGGCATTTTCCCGACAACACAGAGCACAAGGCTGCGCACATTTAATAGAACATCTGTTAAATACAGCTGTGCCCCTTTCTGTGGATTAACAGTGTCTGCTGGAAAGAGAGCAACATTTCATCTGCGTGACTCACAAACGCAAGACGAGTTCGGAATGGGCATATGACCTGAACAAGTACCAAAAACTATAAGTTAAGCACGAATTAGGACGTAGCAGTAAATCAGCACGGCACATGAAAGGAGTTCCTTCAAATTCAAAAGAAAGTATGTACTCCAAAGTGATCCTGGATATAAGTTGTGCACTTATGTTCTACCAAGTATTTTGACTCGATGGCCTCAGGTTATATTACAGTTTAATTTTATAGCCGCTATTTTTTTTTTACATGATCGTAAACATGTTTCATGTCCGGTTGGAGCAGCCTCCTGGCTTTTCTTTGTTTGCTCTAAAAACTTTGTGAGAAATGGGTGTGAGGGACTTTGTGGTCTGAAGAACACCAGAACAATATGAGGGTCTATTTTCAGTTGAGAGACCAAAGACTGTTGTTAAAAGCTGACCCACATGTTAAAAAAAAAAAAAAAAAACAGAAGAAGAAAAGCTCCCCTCTCCTCTCGGATGGTTTCCCCCAAAGGATGCCGCTTTCCTGCCATACCGGTGATTACAGAGAGCAGCCGTGACTTTGTCAATGAAAAGATATGTTACAAAAACATACAGTTCAAGCACTTTCCGTGTGGAAAGAATGTCAATTTCTGTGTATTTAAAAGGAAGAGGGGGGGGAAATAATTTGGAAATTTGGCTGAGTTCCATCTTCCTTCATCCCCCTCCCCTCCCCTCCCCCTTTCTCCCGTCTTTCTCTTTCTTTATTCTGTCCGGCTTCCAGCAATGTGTTTCTCATTGTCTGTCCCATTGCCTACAACTCTCAACACGCTTGGTCGGCATATTTTTTATGCTCGAAAACACTCCAAACACAATGTAATTCTAATTACACTAATCTTTTTTTCTCGTCAAGCAAAGCTTCTTTTTACCCCCCGAGTCATACTGAAATGGAATCATCAGCCAAATGAGAAAAACATTCAACAGCATTTCCACATGTGCAAGCACACTTTGAGAATGATGAATGCCATTTACACAGTTGAGGAAATGTGTTCTATTTTCTGTAGGATTGTTTACTGTTCCCTCAGGACATCCTGCCTCCTTTCACTGTTATGATAAGTTAATTGTACACATAAATGATCATTCCTGGTCAAAAAGTAGTTTAACATACAGTATGAAAGGTCATTGTGAGTGCAGAGAGAGACTGTTTTTGTGTAATCAAACAATGTTGGTTCTTTTCAGATCTGGAAATAGATATGGAGCCTAAAAAGATCCATATAGGTAGTAACAAAATGTATGTATGAGCATTTAGCCCACATGTTTATCTTGGCGAGGTAGGAAGAGCTGCATTTGGATCCTGTTAAGCTAAAGCTTCTGAATGACATCGATAGCAGTGAAGCTGTGTTCGATGTGGTGCCTCATCTCCCCGGGGTTACTTAGTAATGAGGAAACACTGTGGTCTCTTAATCAGATATACAGCTAGCATCATTTACCTACAAATGGCCTTAATTATTCCTTCAACATCAAATGTAGTTCATCATTAAAAGAGCGGTATGGCTTACTTTAAACTGTCATTGTGGCCCCATAAAGTGTATCTATTATGCTATAAAGAGAAAAACGTTTCACGCAGACTTCAAATCTGTAACAGGAGGCAGATCAAGTCGCAACTGGATGTTAATCTCTGTCGGTGTCGCTGCGTTGTCTCGGATCAACAAATTGCCGATGACACGTACAGTAACAGAATGAGGTTCAAGTTTGCTCCCGGGCCTCCACAATTACACCTGGACCAGCCTGGCTTGCGGTATCTCCTCAGTCTATGGGCCTGATCAGCAAACGCACAGACTTCAGCGAGTAGAAGCCTCCGCCGTAGTCCGCCCAGAAGATCCCATCTTGGAATTTGCTGCGGTAAACGCCTCCGGTGTACCAGACACCGTTAAGGTTGGCTTGGCCGCAAGCGTTGTACCACCAGCCTCCTTTGTGGAAATGGGCACAGTTACCTGATGTGGAGAGAGACGAGGATGGGGATGATTAGCTGTATGAGGACGTGATTTTCACTGAGAAAATGTCTTTTGTCTTCAGAAAACATGCATATCCAGAATAAGCCTCATTCCAAGGGCCTAAAACATTTGGCCAGTAGCCCTCTGCGCCTTGATGCAGACTATAGACTGTATAAAATATGAACGTAGTCTCCATGACGCCACCAATGTGAAGAAGACACGCAGCGAAGCTTAAAGGGTGTGGCTGCGGCCATTAAAAAGCAAAACTCTGCGGGGGGGGTCTACCATTAATGAATATAATTGAAAAAGTGTGATTTATACAAATATCAATCATCAAATTTGATATGGAGACCATATTGGTGCTAGGCTGTAATATGTTTATTTCTACATGCCCACATTAATGGACGGAAAAGTTATCGGTGATGCTTGCAAATGGAATCGTGCCGCGTTCAAGTCTTCAGGTGAGCAAAAGATTGCGAGGGTATCGTATTTTTATCCACTCAGATCACATGGAGCACCGAATAATTCCAAGATCTGATACTATGACAGAAGTTTGAATCTTCAGTAGAAAACCACCACGCACTCCAAAGGGCCCCCATGTTGGTCTACCTGAGAATGCATCCTTGTCCCGATCCAGAGTAGTGAACTGTTTGCCGTTGTGGCTGCTCAGGGAGTCCCCGGCGTTGCCCTGGTAGGTGCCCAGCCGCAGGCGGTAACCCTCTTTCTCAGGCTCTAGATGGAAGCTGCTGTACTGAGCGTAGACCTTCTTGTCCATCCAGTCCTCCAGCTCCACCAGCAGCTTGTAGTCCCCCTGCCTCCCCAGGTTGTAGATGCCTTCCAGACCGAGCCAGTATTCTCCGTCGATGTTGCCAAAACCGCTCTAATTGAAGGGAAGATTAAAAGGAAGGTTACAGGAAAGTAATGAGCATTGTCTTTCATGTGGTAGCCGGAGGAGTTTAGAAACGTGAGAATTGTTTGGGAACATAAAAGCGCATGTCACAGAACGAATGAGAAATTTCTTTTTGATGACGTTCTGGTCGTGGTTCTGTATTTAAGACAAAATACAAAACTTCAAGAGAAAGATCTGTGGGAAAAGAACAATACCCATTCGTACGAAAGACATGTTGAGTTTACGCAGGAAAATACCCATCCAACATCAGATTGCTGGTCGATCGCTCAAACCCAGAAGCGCTCTTGGATCGTGGTTAATGGTGAAACCGGCCTGCGCGCTGGTGTTGAATAACTGCGAGCAATCTACATCTGGCCATGTTTCCCCTGAACACTTCACTGGGCAGAGGAGTTTGAGGTTTGTGATTTTGGATTGAGCTGGTTGAGCCAGCAGATGATGAACGATGTAGGGTTTCTCTGCACGGCCTACGCTGCAATGCTGTGTGTGTGTGTGTGTGTGTGTGTGTGCATGTGGTGGCTTTGTGGGAGAGTGCAGAGGCAAATCAATGTTGAAGAGAGCAATTTAGCTTCCAGACACACATGCACAAGCCGGGCCGAATGGAACGCTGGATCGCCGAGGCTGCCAGAAGCGATACACTCCATCTCGTCCGAATCTCGTTGATGAGAGGGTCTATATGTCGTGGTGTAGGACGGCACCATAGGAGGAGCGGTTCTTGGAAAGAAACGCCTGTAGATTGAGTTGTGGAACATAGTAGCTTCTCATCCAACTTTTCATAATGGGAATCTCAAACCATACTACCTCCGGCGAATTTCGGCGCTGAAGGGGGCGTTATAGTCTACAATAAGTGAAAACACAAGGATTCCGGTCCAGGATATATATATATAATAGTCCCAATGAACCCAGATGGTTCTCCTAGACGGGTCATCGGCTCAGGAGAAAGGAGATAAATTAAATAAACAGGGCGGGGGAAGTGTCATATGTCACCACCTTGTAGTTATCCCAGTTCCTGAAGAAGTTCACAGAGCCGTCTCTCCTGCTCTGGATCACAGTCCAGCCCCCGTTGTCTATATCCTGTTCGCACCAGGCCTGGACGGGCCTCTCGGCTTCGTCCGGTCTGATCAGGTACATGCCGCTGGTGCTGTGGCCGGCTTCCTGCGCCGCAAGACAGTCTCTGAACGGACCTGAGAGACAAGAGGAAGAGGAGGAGGCCGGTGGTTAGAAAGACAAGGAAGTGTTTGATAAATCCTCTAACTTCCAACAGAAATTGCTAAAAAGCACCAAAATGTCTGAGGCTAATGTGTCCAAAGCAACAGTGCAGTTACTGTTGTTTGTTTGTTCCTAAAAATGTTTGCCTTGGACGGGCATTTTTTGTTGCCGGAGCACTGAAACACCTTAAAGATGACAAGGAATTCAATTCAATGTATGAACGACGGCTATAAAAAAAGTGAAAAACACTTTTATGAAGGTTGGCGGATGGTTGCGGGAAAATTAAATCACCTTACCGTAATAATGAATTATTTGCTTTCCTTTGAGTTAAGTAACCCTTTTCAAGGTAATTCACCATTCTTGTTGAAAGAGTTTTAATCAAAAGCACATGTATCAGTGATTCTCCTGGCTAGTAATGAAATAATGTACCGGTGTAGTCCATTGACTGAAGAATTTTACCATAAGCACCTCTACTTTGTGGTCTGCAGGAGCCTATCATGCCGACCTGGGTTTCATTTCCATTTCGCATGCAATGGAACAGTCTTGTAAGGGATCCATTTCATACACGGCTGCACTGAAACCCTACACACTTTATTATTCTTGGGCAAGAGCAATCTGAATGTGTCAAGAATTACTGTCGATGAGCAAAATCGCACTGGTTAGGTCTTTCTTTGCTTTAAGTCCCCCGCCTCGGTTGAGACATTACAACATTTTTATTTCCACCCTGGTTTGGGTTCTTTCTGTTAAGCGGAGTTTCAGCTGCAAAACGGATGGATGGATGACTCCCCCCTCCGCCCGCCACCTACTCGTCCCCTCACCTTCAGAGCTGAAGTTTTGATGCGGTTTCTGAGCTTCCAAGGTGCCGCTCGTGGGTGACGGTCCGGAGCGAGAGCCCCTCTCCCGGGCAAAGCCCCGGGTGTTGTCCCTCTGGATCTCGTTGGTGAAACGTGGCACAGTAACAGGAAGGTTCTCCGGCACCACCTGCACAAGCGGAGGCCCCAAGGGCGGCTGGTCGTGCCTGCGGCTGTACACCTGCATGCATCGCTCCTCCAAGGCTCCAATCAGAACTGACTGGTTGTTCACCACTGCGGACAGAGCTGCGTATTTGGCCTCCAGCTCCCTGTACCTGGACCCCAGGCGCAGCGACTCGCTGGTGGCGTTGAGGATGCGCGTCTCCAGCTGGGCCAGCTCCAGGGAGTTGTCCCTCTTCCGGATGATCTCGTGCAGCAGTTGCATGTAGAGCTGGGTCACTCTGGAGTTCATGTTCCTGCTCTCTTTCCTCATCAGCTTCATCTCGTTCACCAAGTTGCCATCGACGTCCACCACTAACTTCAGGGTCTCCATCTCCCTACGCTGCCTCGACAGAAGGTCGCGCACGGCGGCCACATCCAGGCGCGTCACCCGGTCCTTGTCGTTTGAATAACCGCGAGAGGCACAGATGGGTCCTGTGATCTTCTGCTCGGGGACCAGGAAGGTGTAGGAGCACTTCCGGCTTTCTTCTTTGGCCTCCGGAGCCCTTCGTATCCGGGAGAGGACGGGGTGCTTTGTGAGGGCTTGGCTGTGGCCACAGAAAGACAGACAGAACAGAATAACTACGCTCCACATTCCGGTTCCCATGGCTCCTCCTCTCTCTATCAACAAACAAGCTAGAGATCTATGGATAAAGGAAGAAAAAAATGAAAAGTTGGTGTTATTCTTTATTACACTGATAGTCAATAAATAATAAAAAAGGCCAAAACTAACAATGTGTACATCAGCTATATTTTCCCACTTCTCTGCGTTATCTTTGGCCTGAAAGTTTCTACTAAAGTCTTTAAAAGGAGGAAACAGGACGGAAAAGACACTCTGTAGTTCCACCATTCTTGTAATGAGTGAACAACGTCAATACTTTTAAACGTTGTCATGCAAATTTGGGGCCCCCTCCGAAAGAGCCGTAATCACTTTGGCAATCTCCTCACGCTTGATTTCGTACAACTCATCATATTCAGCTCTTTTGTGTTCGGGCCTAAATTCAAATAAATCAAGAAATGTCAATAAAATCAACATTATACCTGCTAAAAATCAGCATGTTAAAGTTGCCAGTTAGCATGCCAATGTTAGCATTGAGCTCCACCTCCACAAAAACCACACTATGCATCTTTCTTTGTTGTGATGAACATAAGTCTGCAGTGTTTGGAACCAGGCCTAAACTTTCCAAATTAATAATGATGTGGTCCTACAAAGTACAGTTTCCTACTAGATGTTTGCTTGTATCCTCTAATCCAAAGAAGCCAACGTGCGTCTGTTCGCATAACACAAGAGAGAGTTTCCAGTCGGATGAAATTCAAGCATCGTGCTTAAATCATGAAGTAACTGAGCATCACAGCAGTAAAGTGAAAGGTTTCACATATCAACAGACAGTCCAGCCCCTGTAAGATTTCCCCTCCGGTACGCGTGTGGAGGAGTAAGAACAGGGCCACACATCCACCACAAATCTGTTATAGTAACTCAGACTTTCAATACATTCCCTCATGGGTTCTCTTTCATTAGGGGCCTCACCACATCTGTATCAGGTGTCTGGGTGCGGACAAGTACTAGGACCTGTTTTTTAATATTTCTGTGGATCTCCTGGCTCAGACCTTCCATGAGCCTCCACTATCGTCTTTCAGTATCCGCACTGACTTGGAGTGTGGAGAATTTCCACGATGAAAACCTCACAGTCTGACAAATGAAGTTAAAAGAAAATATTGACAGGAAAATTGGGATTAAATCACTTTGATAGGGCAGTGTCAGCTGCCAGGATTCATGCATCATTCAGCAAACTCTGCCTGGCTGGCTAAAAGGGAAAGTTTGAATCTGGCTGGGATTAAAACAAATGTATTTGTATGAGTGTAATAGTGCATTCTGGAGTCAATGTCTAGAAGGAAAGCTGGTGTTTTGAGATTTATTGGTTTCAACAACTGATGGGAGTTGTGGGTGACTTTCAAAAATGTGAAGTGAAAGATTCCCTGCCCCATGTTCCCACTCCGTGGAGCCAATGTGAGCTAAGTTTGGGCCAAATCCAACTAGTCTCGTGGATATAAGAAACGTTCATCATACTCGTCTGACAGGAACATCCGATGGACCTCCTCATATCAGAGCTCACCAAAAACAGAGATTTAACAGAAGCCAAAGAAGCAGGATTTAATGAGTCCAAGACAGAGACAGCAGGAGCTTTGAATGATGTCTGTGGTCTCCGCTTGATGTTTAGTTGCACCGTAGAGTCTTTGACCACATGCAGTTAATGGTACTGATCCCGCAGCAGTAAATTCAAACTGCTGCTCAAGCAGAACTCCTTTTATCTGGGTAGAAAAACATTTTTCCAAGCGGATATATAAGAGTTTTCGTGTTTTCATAAAGCACAATGACTTATGATGGGGTCTGAGCAAACATTTACCTTTAATAGCGCAAAAGTTATGCCGCAGTCTGTAAGATAATGGAAGGAGCTACAGTATTTGTCTTAAATAAACCATCTGAAGGTAAAGGAAAAGGCACTTTAGGGAAAACAGGCCATGTGTCGGAGCTCAGAAACAGCTTGGCACTGTGGGTCAGTTACTGTTACTCAAAGGAGTTCTTTCCCCTGCCTTTCCATAATCACCGGTCATCCCCTTCAATAGCTCGCTGTCAGCAATTGGCCCGTCTGCACGTCTCCAACCGCACAATATGAATCTCACAGGCCCCGGCCCGACAGGAGTGACAGTGTTTACACAGAGGCTCCTCAAGCCAGACGTTTGGATCCCAACGGCAGTTCTAACCACCAGGTTTCTCTCCGTCATTCACACCCTGCTGGTCCTCATCAAGTCAGCCGCAGAAGCCGTGTTCTAATGTTGACTTATTCAAAAGGGCATTTTCTTCTCCTCCTCCGTGCTCACGAGCCAGACCTGACCAGACGCAGCCACCTCATCTACATTAATGCAGTCCTTGTAACAAGAGGTCAAACTTTGCCACGGATGGTTTTCCCATTACAGAGTCGGTACCACTGCGTGCAAATCGTAAGGATCCTTTATTCTGCTACATGTGAACCCTCAAAAAGCACGAGGAAGACCCACGCTTGCGTCATCTAATTTCTCTGCAGCTTCATTTCAATGTACAACCTGAACTTATTGAACCTTAGGAAGTAAAGAGTTTCCAGGGAAGATTTGTAGTGGCAACACATTTTAAGGACTGAGCCTAAAGTTATTTTGATGGTGGCACCGATTAGTTTTGTCTGCTGAGGGGTCGACATGATGTATGAGCTTTGTACTGTGCATGAATATCATCACACTGTTTACTTTAAAAATGCGCAAATGTTTCATTTATAACAGTATTTCTGTCACTCTATACTTCTGTAGAAGAACCATGGACGTCTAGATCACTGCTTCCATTTATAATGTCTGTCAATGTTCCTTTTCTCTGTATTTGCATTTTTTAAATTCATTATGAATAGGAGAAGTTTCAGCCATTTGAAAAGTTTATCTCATGGAATGCCTTTATAGGGATGTGGAAAAATGTAAATAAAAACTCTTACCTGTGTCAGTGAGTTCAGTCAGGAGGTTCAGGTAAGACCCGGCTTGGTACGCTTTTTCAATTGGATTTTCTATGCAGGTTTGTGTTCTCCATTCTCCTCCTCTTAGTCTCCTTCCGTCTTTGCTCTCATTGAGAATGAAGGCCTGCATGCAACTCCCACTCAGGGAACAGCAGAGGGTGGTCCACATGCAAAAAGAGGGAGGCTGATGGTGTGATTTTACACATAGTTTGAGCAGAGTGGAGGCTTAGCCCCGCCCCCCCGTCCTGAAAGAAAACACTCCTCCTAATAAAAAGATTTTGCCACAAATGAAAAAATAATAATAAAAGTTTGGCTTGGGGGGGGACCTCAAAAATCAGTCTTGCTGTCATCAAGTTTTTCTAAAAAAGGTCCCGTTTTCCCCTCTGATGACATGAACAATAACACAATAACTTTCTCCTCCGTTAAACACACATATCCATCTGCTTCATTCATGAAATTGCAGTTTCCCCATCGTCCTCGAAAAAAGCTGTTTCCCATCAGTTCCCATCTAATGACTGAGTGATTCTGGCGATCAAGTGGCTTGGGCATTTCAAATAAAGAGGTCTGTTTCGAAATGCGAGCATCACTTTGCTCATACATGGGGGTGTCTCTCTCGTGTGGATCCAAGAGCTTTTGGCAGCTGTGTTTATTGTGTTAGGAGGACAATAAGCAGAGGGCTTTGCAGACAGAAAAAGAACAGCCCTCAGCTAAATGTTATGGGATCGAGGAGGAAGCGCAGGCTTTGATGCGTGGGGATTCTCTGCGTGGGGAGAGACATACTTCAGCGTGTGGGAGGACACGTTTGCTTGTGGGCAATTGATGCAGGACATTCATGGGGGTGTTTGTGTTTTGTGAGTGAGTGTGTGTTTGTGTGCGCTGGCGCGTGAACGTATGAGCGCATGTGTGTTTGCCGATGCTTGATTGAGAGCATGTGTCCCCGACAGACGTTTGTGTATTATAGAGGTCCAATTTAAATAAATCATAAATAGAAGAACATGTGTTTGGAGGAAGCGGTTACCGAGAAGAAGCTAAGAAATACATTTCGGCTAATTCCATCCATGCCTGGGAAACAAATGGTACTTTTGTGTTGCTTAGATCAGTGTTTTAAAACTCCTCGGGCTCAACTAAGGGGTCACCAGATATATCTGAGGGGTCCCGAGCGAAGGAAAGGGATAGGCCTATGTAAGAAAAATGTCTCGGGGGGAACTGTAGTTCTCTCAAAAAGAGATAAAAGAAAGAAGATACAAAAAGCTTCTTTTGAAAGGGCTTATTTATCAAAGCTGTGTTTGTGCCCGATGTCACACTCGACAAGTTGGTAATGTTCTTTTCCACTTGATTTATGTGAACACAGATGAGGTGTCCTTTCTTCTTTTCTGCCCTCAGAAAGTCTGTTTGCGCCTCGGCTGATAGTTTGTGTTTCAAATTGAGTTTTGTACTCAGGTATTAATTAATTGTTGAGTTTGGAAAAATCCGACATCTATAAGCATAATTTGTCCCATTGTTTGAAATCCTGCTCACTCTGTCAGCCCCTCCTTGTGGCTAAACAGGTTTATTACCACGCCATTAAAGCTATTGCATGTCCATTGGTTTAGTTTGAAATGGAAGTACTGTATGCAGAGGTGGAAGAAGTATCATTTACTTAGTAAAGGTATCAATGCCACACTGTTTACGAGTAAAATAACGTGTCATACAGAAAATGGTCTGTCATTACTTTACTACAGTAACATTTAAACATTTGGAGATGTATTGTTTTCAAAGGGCATGAAGAGTGTGAAAAAGGTGTAAATTATAAGGTAAATTGTCACAAAGCAAAATATACTGGCTGCACAATATTTGCCTGTGAGATGCAAGTTAGAGAAGCAACAAGTATAAAGTTGCACAAAATGCAAATGCTCATTAGTAACATGAACTTGTACTTAAGTGCAGTAAATATACACTTACATCCCCCCGTCTGCCTGTTTGATGAAAGGAAGTAGGCTACAACCGCTGAAGTAGCTGGTTAAAAGTCGAGCAAACAGGGATTAACGCTGAAGAGCATTAGCACAAATAAACGAGCGCGCATACCTTCAAAACGAGCTTCTCTGTGACGTCACGGGCTTTGACCAATAGCAGGCGCTCATCTTGGTGCTTGACGGTCCGCAGCAACGACCCGTAATCAAAACACAGGATTCCGTGACGTTTACTTTAATTCACAGGGAAGAAATGAGGATAATAACGCGTTTTAAGTCAAAGTATTTCTGAGGGACTTCTTGCTTTTATTTTGTTTCATTTTCCCGACAACTGTTCTGGGATATTTTTTTTTTCAAATATGGTGAGTTTGACCCACGATCCACTTCTGCAAACGTTAAAAGTGAACCGTTTGAACGTTGTGTGTTGTGCTATAAACTGCCGCAGGAGTCATTGTCATTTTGTCCACGGTGCCCTACGGAGACCAGCTGGATTAGGGGGATTTAAACGGGCTTTGCCCGCGTGCAGAGCTGCGGATAATATTAGAGATCCCGTGTCACTGTGGATCCGTTGAGCCCCCGAGGAAGACGAGACGACTGTCAGTGCGCGTCCTTCACAAATGTGCTCCAAGTCAACACACAATAACATCTCAAACATATGGATGGGTGGAGGGATCATTTGATCAACACCCAAATTGATTTCCAATGTATAATGTAGTGTTTCTTCTGATTTGTCCAATCACACCCTTTTTAAGATCACTAAACTTGTCTTTACTTTATACCTACAATGTGCGTTGCAGGACGCCCTGTGCGACCTGTGCTTGGCTCAGGTTTGCTGCAGCTTGGACGCTCTGTGCAGCAGGCGAGCAGATGGCTCCATGTGCCTCAGCCGGGCCCCAGTTTTCCCACAGGAGGTGGCGGACCAGTTACTGCTTAAGATGGTGAAAAAAAGTAGGTTAAGAGGGCAGAAAAAAAAGGCCTCTATGTAATCTGTATCAGCAACTGGACGGTAGATCTGTGGTCTTGGAAAAGGGAGCGTTGATCTCACACTATTCTCACACCGTTGTAAGTCAGCTTACTTAATGAAATTGCACTTCTTTTTGAGATGTTATCCTCATGGTTGAAATGCACTTAGCACTTACTTTGGATAAAAGCGTCAGCTAAATGACATGTCATTTTCCCCACAAAATCCCTGTTTTCTTCTCCCTTCTCCCTGCAAGAGATACTGAATGACACAACCATTAGGATTTTCCAAAACTGCAAAGAGCTCCGCCTCCGACGAGCCTCCATCCGATGCTGCCAAGTATCTGCACAAGCTTTCCGCCTGGCACTCTGCCCTCACCGGCTCCAGGAGCTAGACGCCTCCGGGGTTCTTGGCGGCCTCACCGTGGCAAACATCGTCTCGGGCCTGGCCTCCAACCCAGCGTGCAGATCCAGCCTACGCAGGTTGTCCCTCGCTGGGCTCCGCGTGGACTGGGAGTCTCTGGAGGAGGACGGAGGGCCCTGTGTCGGATTTAGCTCCTTGCAGGGCTTGCGGACGCTCAACCTGGCCAACACGGACCTGACCGATGCCGTTCTCGAGGATATCTGCACTCTCCCTCGGCTGGAGAGCCTGGACATCTCCTGCAGTGCGGTGTCAAAGCTTACCGCACTCCTAGATTGCAAAAACACGCTGAGATCTTTGACCACCCACCGGCTGCAGCAGCTGGATATGTCGCCTGGCAGGATGCTGTTTGTCCTCGGCCAACTTCACGCTGTCAGGCATTTCGACTTTTCAGAGGACCACTTGGCTGTTAACGCCGGTGACGGGAGAGACGGGATGGAGACAGTACGTCAGCTTTTGGATGGGAGTCCACAGGTCCTCCCTTCCCTTGTTTCTCTAGATATATCTGGACGGAGGAGAATCCCCGAAGCGGCAGTCAGGGTGTTTGTGGAAGCCAGAGGCGCACTGGTCTTCTTGGGCCTGCTGGCCACGGGCGCCAGCTCCTGTGACATCTTGTCATCAAAGAGAAACCTAAAAGTAAGGAGCTCTCATCAGAGTTGACATCCTAGCATGAGATGTCAGAGAGTGTTATGGGCCGACACATGAGCCTGACTCCCCCGTGCGTTTCCTATTTGACTTGAGGCTTTGTTTGTGTATGTCCACTGCATTTCCTCTCTCTCTGACAATGCTGATCTTCTGTTCAGGTAACCGGAGAGGCTAATGAGAACCAGGTGTGTGAGGCCCTGAGAAGGTACCGCGACCGCGAGTGTTTCATACGAGAGGCCCTCGTCCATCTCTACAATCTAACCGCTGACATTGACAAACCGCGGCCAGATATGCTAGAGGTACTATGATTGCCTTGTGTTTCGAGAAAACATTTTAAAGCATAGCTTTATGCTAACTGAGATTTGTGGGGTACATTGCACAAACAACATCCGTCATTTAGAGCAGATTATCTAAGCCACTTTTTTTCATGGCTACTGAAACGAACCCCTGTCTTTGCACAGAAAAACTGGACCTTAAAGTGATTGATGTGTTGTTGGTAATTTTACTGCTCACTTTCTGTTTTCTCATGTACGAAAATATGATTTCCCTGCGGATTGTTAAACCTGAATGATGCTATTCCTCCCCCACGAAAGACTTTTTAGAATAGGAACGATGGCCAAAACAACAATTAAATGACCCTGCCTCTAAGAAACAATGACTTATACTTAGATAATTGCATTGTAGAGAAATATATTTTAATCTAGTGTTGAGTAATATCTTTACTCATTCTCTGCACGACCCTCGTTCAAAAGAGAAATGTCACAGATCAAGATTTCCTGTCAAAAAAAAATAAACATCAAGTATAAAGAACTTATAACATACATACATATACATAAAAAAATATGTATCACCCTATTCAACTGAAAACAATCAACACAATTCAGCATGCATCACTCAATGTACGGAAGCGTTTACACTCGGTAGAGCCGGTAGAGAGCGCACAGTCCTGCTGCAGAGCTCTACACTGAACTCAATCTCCGCTCCACACAGCCGATGAATTAATAGATTTAACTCAATCCGCTTTGTTAGGAGCCAAGCATTCATCTCTGAGCTTTCTTTGAATAAACTGTACAGCTAAAGTTAACATGTCCTCTTTTCCGACATTACAAGTCGTTTTCGGTAGTGAAAGAGGAAGTGAAGAGCCTGTTCCTAGCAGAGCACGACAGATGAACGGTACCACGCCGGCTCACAGCTGTCCCGTCACTGTCCTCTACTGACAGGCAGTTGCTTCTTATTCTGAAGTACGTGTACTTCTTGTTTGCTGTAGCTGGTGCTCAGTGGGATGCAAAGCCACCCCACATCCCTGCAGGTCCACCTGGTGGCCACGGCGTGTGTGTTCAACCTGACCACCCAGGACCTGGCGGTGACCATGCCCGTCGGCCTGATCAGCTCCGCTGTCGCCCAGCTGCTGTACGCCATGAAGACCTACCCCAACCACCAGCAGGTCAGGGGTCAGGGGTCAGGGCTCGAATCCATAACAATATGAGGTGTGATGTGCTTACACCAAAGCTAAATGTGACACGGAATGTCTGTTGCGACCAGCTGGCGGGTCAGACAGGTAAAACAAATGTATATAATATTTTCTTAAACCCATGGTTCTGAAAATGGGTTTTAAATGTTTTCTGCAGGTGCAAAAGAACTGTATGATGGCGCTTTGCAGTGACTATATTCTCCAGGATGTCCCTTTTGACAAGTTCGTTATTTCTCCCAGTTCTAACATGATTGATTGTTCCATGGTAGCGCAGTTGCATAATCCGTGCACTCATAGCACTGAAGTGTTTTTCCACCAAATTGTGGAGCTAAAACATATCCTTCCTTCGAAATGTTTGTGCCAAAATAAATAGTTCCTCCAGATGCAAAAGTGCAGACATGAACTAGCAAAGCTTCTCTGTGCATCACTGGTATATTTTGTGCAATACGTTGTTGCTCATATTCATAATGTCATCGTGCTTCAGGTATTTAGCAGCCACGCTGGTGATCAACTGGCTGCGGAGCCACGAGGACGCTCCCCTGCAGAGGATGGCTGTGGCTGTCATCTCCATTCTGGTGGCCAAGGTCAAAGACACTGCTCACTTACTGTGCATTAGTCTGCTGCTGCAAAACAGTGTGGCACCTGTTAGTCACACCTGTCAAGAGCCCCGCGTCTCGGTCTCCTCCTGTACCTCTGTGACAACGTAGTTACAACAGTCAGGTTTATGCTTTCGTTTAGTCCAGTTACATTTTTCAGTTTTCACTTTGTTGTATTGGGTAAAATACGTGTACTTGAAAAAAGCACTCATCTATCTGTACCACTCGCAGTTGTCCACAGAGGAGACCGCTCAGCTTGGCAAGGACGTCTTTATCATGAAGGTACATTAACACTCTCAGGGCATTTGGATTCAAACGTGCCCAACGCTCCCGGCTTAGCGCTGGATGAGCACGAGTGTATTTCTAGATCTCTCTCTGTCTTTCTCAGCCACTGCATTTTCCATTACCTAACCTGCACATGCACTCCTTTACTCACTGTCACTTTCCCCTCGCCGCTCCGTGCACTCATAATTCACGCTTTACTGGTTACTTGATTTATTCATTTGCATTTCTTGAATGTATAACCAAGCTAGAGGGTTTTTTTTTAGTTATTGCACAGCACATTGTTGTAACAGCTGAAGGCAATACTTCCCCGGGTATTTGCATATTTATTTACAAATGTATGTATGTATGTGTATATATATATATATATATATATATATATATATATATATATTTGGGGTCTTTCTCCATCATTCCCCTCGGTCTCGTGTTTTCACCACCACCATTTGCTCCGTCCCGCAGCAGATGCTGGCTATTGTCCAGCAGAAAGCCATGACTGGTCTGGTGGACTCCACTCTTAAATTTGCCCTGAGTGCTCTGTGGAACCTGACGGATGAGATGCCCACTGCTGCTCGCAATTTCATCGAGTGCCAGGGCCTGGAGCTGTACGAGGAGGTTCTGGAGGTAGACGAGCCCTAGAAATACACCGATTGAGAGATTGATACATAAATGGACCCAAACAAACATCGGCCCTTTTTGTGTTGCAGTCCTACTACGCTGAGCCTTCCGTTCAGCAGAAAGTTCTTGGCCTTCTGGTGGGTTCAGTGTGTTTGTGTGCCGTAATTGGCTCAGAATGTTTTTTCCATAGTACTGCATGTCTTTGTTTGTATAACCTGTAAACAAAAAAAAGAAATGATTTCAGTGTTTACAGTTTATACTTTTCCCACATCAAATATTTACATATGAATGTTAAAAATTATTTTACCATCGTCATCAGTGTGCAAAATGTCTGTGGTCGACCCCCCCCCCAGCTTGATCTTCAGTGAATGTGAATGTTGAATAACACTTTTTCAATGTGAATTATGAATATGGCTCAAAAACTGAACCTTTTTAAAAGTAATTTTTATCGACATGCTAGTGACGAAGATTCAAAATGTTTTTGAGGCTTCCAGGGAATATCACCTAAGGGGTCTCGAGCCCCCTCAGGCTGCTTGTCTTCCTGCTATCATTTGTCTCCGTGTTGCAGAACAACATAGCAGAGGTGGAGGTGTTACAGGCGGACCTGATGGAGGAGGACCTGCTAGGGCACGTCCTCAGCCTGCTGCAGGACTCCCGGGTGGAACAGGGGGTCCGTTACTTTGCAGGGGGGACTCTGGCACAGCTTGTCTCCAGACCAGAGGCCTGGACCTTGGGCAGCCAGCTGCGCAGCACCATAGTGGAGCAGCTGGTGCGTGTGGACAGCTTAGATGTAACGGTGTCAAATTCAGATCTGGCTCTTTTTAAAGTGTCCTTTTCTTCTCTGCAGCATGCATCCATAATGACATGGACCCAACTCGAGAGAGAAATGGTGTCCTATAGGTGAGAGAAACTAGACAAAAAAAAAGTATTTTGGAGGAATTCCTATTTTCTGCTCAACATCAAACATGAACAAAAGTTATTATGAAATGATATCATTGTTTGATTACAATTGTTGTGGTTTAGTATATATCTGTTGAGGCGAGTACAGAACAATACCGAAGAAAGTCCAGACAAAAACGCATTATTTTCATTTTTAAGTGGAAAATTACCTTCCACCGCTATTTGATGGCATGAAAATGTAAGGTGAATTTTTATAAAACCAAAAATAAATTCTCCGCATTAGTCAAAGTATATTTTTTTTGCCGTCTCCTTGTTTTCACGTTTCAGATCGTTCCGTCCGTTTTGCCCTCTGCTTCAGGCTTGGCAGCCCTCGGGAGTGCAGCTGTGGGCAGCGTGGGCCATACATCTGGTCTGCATTCAGAACGGTGAGAAGTACAACGGACTACTGTGTAGATATTAGCAGGTGGAAGGATTTAGGGGGTTTTAGAGGGGTCAGCATATTTAGATTTTTCTAGAGCTGCAAGGATTATTTGACCAATGATCTGTCAGTCGACAGAATATGTATGAATATGTAAAACGTTCTGTACAAGGGGCTGATAATAATGATATAATAATTGGATTTTTGGACTCACAACCAGCCATTTAAACATTTTTTATATTTTCTAATATTTTAGAGTAAATTATATATATATTAGTAAACTGTTGAGTAGTTGCAGTCCTCTTCGTTTTGATATCAAATAGAGCTTTTTGTCAGTACGGTGGACCATCAATGTTAGCATTCCATTTCCCTTATGTTGAATGTCTCTCCATGTTCTATAGCTTCACATTACAGCAACATGATGGAGAAGGACGGCGTGGCTGAACTTCTGAGGGCTCTGGCTGCACATCCCGACACACACAGCGACGTCAAAGGACTGTCAGACGGTATCTTGCGTATCGTAGAGCAGCACCAGAGTCTCTAATATCCCTCGACCAACAGATGGAGCCCGGAAACTCTCGACAGAGATGCAGATTTTGTGAATAAACACACCTGAGGGTGTCATTATTAAATGGTACAGACAGTTCAAGTCAATCAGTTGGAATTTAAAGTTTAATGGAATTAGTTCCTGTCCATTTAATATATAGAGTATAATCTCATGTACATTCTTTCAAGAAATTACCTATAAACTGTTATCCTCAGGAAAAATATATACCGACAGGTTGTAAAGTCCTAATAGTGTAATGTATTCTGAAATGTAGTTTCTGTTCAGTATGAAAACGTCTGACAGCAATAGTATTCTAAATAAACTGAATTTAGAAACTACAGCTTGTGTTGTGAATCATGCATGTTACAAACACTGGTCACAAGAGGGGGCTTTGGTACTGTAGCTTTCGGCCAAAGATCATTTATGTAAAATATTCACTCAGGCCTTTAGATAACATTTAGATTCAAGATAATACTCAAGTAGAAACAGGCCAAAGCAACCTGCTTCTGCTGTGTTTACCTTTTCTGAGCTGCAGGAGGTTCTCTCTCTCTCTCTCTCTCCCTCTCTCTCTCTACCCTGGTCTCCAAATGCTGAATTCATTATATCTTATGTAATAGAGCCGGAAGACAGAACTGCTCGTAAGCATCAAGCCTAAGTCGGCCTATTAATACATCCCTTTTAAAAGTTGATTAACAACCTCATGAATATTTGAGTTGTACCACCGTCTTCTGCTCCATGTGAAATCTGCTTCATTCATATCTTCATAATCCAGCAAACACAACGTGACATGTTTAGTTATCCCCGTGCCATAAGCAGGTTGTATGTTAGAAAGGAGCTTTGTAAACTGATCAGACTTAAACTACCAGTGCGATGAGATCAAAGGTCACCGTGAACACGGTGTGATCTTACCGGGAGGAATTAAAGGTAAGTGTGATAAAATGCCACGCGACTGCAGCGTGCGCGGTGACTTTGCACTGGTGTCGGGTGGACACGTGGAAAACGAGCAAACACGTGAGCCAAAGGGTATTAGTGGTGTGCATTACCTCAATGAGGTCTGTAGTTTGTGGCTGAGAGCGCCCATCAATATGCATGTCACAGAGGAGACAGGTGGGCAGACAGAGCCTGTTGAGTAGACTGGAGGAAAAAAATGGAAAGAACTTTTAAGAATTTCAACACTTACGGAAATATGCTTTGACGCTTTCTTGCTGAGTTTCAGGACAGATGATTAACAGTCTCAGTTTAGGGGGCTATTTCCTGGAGCCTACGTGGTCACCAGCAACTGCTCCAACCTGGAAATAGCTCAGCAAGTGATCTGTACGACCACATGTTCCGTTTGTATGTATTTGACAACCACATAGTGTGCTTGTACGCACGTGAAATAGAGCAATAGTCAGATTGGACAGATTTCATTCCCAAAGAAAAAAATCCTTATGCTAAAACAATCTGCTGGCTTTATCTTCATATTTACCAAACCAGACATCTTCGTCTCACTCAACAAGAACGCAAATAAACAAGGAAACTATTCCATTAAGAGAACAAACCATGGAAAAGAGATCAGATGTCTGTTGGGAAATTGACAGGTGCGAAAATAGGATTTATGGCCAAAAATACCTCCAGACGAGATAAATTGAGCACAGGAGGGATGAAAAGAGACGTGCTGAAAATAAGGGGAACAAAGTGAGAGTAAGGAAATTAAAGACCCTTTCATGCTCCACGACAGTGACAAAATACCTTCGACCAAATCCCGCCTGAGATATTATTGTGCTGCTTTGGCGTTGGAGCTCAGTGTGAGTAAGCGTCTCGTTATCTCACTTTTGCAGCCAGCTCTATTGGATTAACATAATCGTGAACTAGTCCGGGCACCCAGAATACACAAACCGACAAACACTTCTCCAGCTTTTGGGTGTGTGTGTGTGTGTGTGTGTGTGCACGGGCAAGTTCCCTGGCGGGGCTGGGTTTGCAGTGCGTTCGTGTATTTGTGCAGCTATCTGTGACTCAGCAAGGCCCCACTGGACGCCTTACAGGTTTTGGTTTCACCAACAAAACACGTCACCAAGACCCCGGTGTAGACCATGAGACGCCGTACAGGTCTTGGACAACTGGATAACCTTGTAAACAACCATAGCGCAAAAAGTACATGTAAAGGCAGAGGTTGAACCAGAAGACAAAGCAACAACAAAGACCAATTCTCCAGGCGGAACGGTGACACACAAAAGGACGCACCGTCTCCTCTCAGATGTCCTTTTATTGCCGGGGCACCATACAGAGTAGTCAGGCCCCTGAGCCTGTTTGCAGATACGCACCAGCAGCAGGACCATTGCTCTCGCTGCCGAGCGGCCAGTGGCTGACGCTTCACTATCAATCAATAGCCCCCTTTCACAGAGGAGGGCAAAATGGTGGTTGTTAATGAAAAGCATTGAAGGACTTGCTTATCTTTAATTCTGCCTCCCCTGGGTGCTTCAGTCAGGACAAAATGAAAATGTAAATAATTAAAGCCAAAGAAAAGTTCAAAAGTGGAGGACTTGTGAGCCTAGGAAATATAATTAACTTAATATAAGTTGGAGCAGTTTCTTGTGATCAGCTTAGCACAGCCTTCTGGGAGGTTTGATTGCAATTTGGTGCTGTCATCCATATGTGGCAGTGATCAATGATGAAATTATCTTGAAATAACTGAAACCCTATTTTCCAAGCACTGGTCTGGAATTATATCCTGCATTTCCCGACTTTGGTGTAAGTAATGACACGGCTCCGGCGCTCAAAGGATTTTCTTCCTATTTTGTGTGTTTGGGTGCGAGTGTTTCTCAGCGCACGTGTCAGCGGGCTTTTACAGGCAGGTAGAGGCGCTCTTACTTTACGTCACATCTCCAGAGGTTCCGTTTGCTTTAAGCTCAGTGGATGCACAGAATGGTGCCAACAACCAAAGGCAGGAAACATGGCAGCCGGAGCTCCTGCACCCGTTAGCTGTTTGCGTTTCTGTTTATTCACTGAACTGGCTGGCGGTCACAGCTGTGCTATTGATGTGACCGTAAACCGGCTGAGTGCGTTTCTGTCCTGAAGCGCATCCCGACCACTACCGTACTTGTGGACGATGGTGTACAGAGATACAAAGAAAACGCAACAACATCCCAATAAGTTACCACTAAGTATTTCAGTGGGAAGCGACAGTGTAATGTGAGTGCAGGGGAAAGAGTCCGGCTGAAATCCCATCAAATAACACACGATTTGTTGTCTTTGGAACGGGTTAAACGAACAACATAACACCATGTTAATTAGTGAGTTTGGTGTTCGTGAGAGTAATGCAGGATTAGAGCGAACGGAGCCTCTTCAGAGCGTAATGTACTAATAGGTCACTTGTGTCGGAGTGGATGGTGGAAGCAAAACTCAAGCTTTTGTCTGTGTGCCTGATCACATGCACATATGTGCCTATATATGGCGTGTGTTTGCAGTGTGGGGGTGTAAAAGAGCAGAATATTAAGGTCATTTTCTTTAGTATATCATCAAAGCTCATCATCTTCTGCTGCTCCCAGAAGCCCAAATGGAGCAAAAACTGTCCAGACTGAGTTCTCTGAGCCAGGTGTTTGCCTTGTGTGCAGAACACATGACCAGCAACTATGTGCATGTTTATTACTTGTCATTCCATCTGTCTCACTGTGCTGACATGTATCAGGGCAACCAGCTATCCGATTTCTAGGCCGCACCCTTGCTCGTGGCATCACATGGCCTAACGAGTGTGCTTAGCAGAATGTAATACACCCTACACGACCAGCCCATATGCGCCTGTGTCGTCTGCAGAATAGAGAAGAGTTACACCTCAATAGACATTATACAATGCACTCTGTATATACTGAAGGTACCCATGCAAGTATAACACCTAAAGCCATGAGAGCATCTCAGCATACTGTTTAATAGCAACCTACAGGCACAGTACATGGGTCACTATGCCAGTAGGTATGTTCAGGTTGGTGCATGTATATGCATATTGCCATGAGTCACTCCCTTATATGACATGGGAGTGTAAGACACAGACGTACGCACAAAGTTACAATAGTGGTGTTGTAATTTAAAAATAATTTCCCCCATACTGAAAGACTCCTCTTCTCAAACAACAGATTGTTTACAAACTGCAAAAAGGAAAAACTTTGCAATTGACGTCTTTCACAGTACACATGTCAACATTACGCGGGCATGACGCGATGCATGAAACCAGGGCCCTGGAACCTGAAAGCCTAAATGTGATGCAGCCGTCATTGTTGACGAACAGTTAGTGAAGCCAATACCTGTATATCTGTAGTTCATTTTGGACGAATCCCAACAATGTGCACACACAAGCTCCAGTGGATGTGTGAAGAAAGGTTTCTCAGCAGTGTTGCAGATCACATAACAGTAAGAAAGCAGATTGTTTGCAGCCACTTTATCCTCACCACATTTTATAATGAATGAAAATTGCAAAAAGCCACTACAATAGGTGTTTTAAATATTTTGCATTGTAGAAAAAGCACAGGTGTTACTCACAACATTACCAATGGCTCGGTTTTATTCAAGTGTTACAGTAAGCCATGATAGTGTGAAAGTGAGCCGGCATCCAAAATAATCTAAAATTGAAACTAAATTCAATTCAGCCATCATTCATCATTTTTATTAGCTACACATGTGCTTTTCTCTCTACCTTGCTTGCGCAGCTGCAAGATGTCGCTATCATTACAGGAAAAAAGGGGTTGCATACATCCATCATTTGCCACACTTTCATAATATTATTGCCTTTTATCAATCATTCGTGACTGCTTCTGCCTACAGGGTTGCGAGGGGCTGCAGCCAATCACAGCTGACATTGGGCAACGAGCAGGTGCATAGGGACAGACATAGGGAACTTTTTCCCTCACATTGGGATGGCAGATTTCCACTGTGATAGTACTTTTTCCACCTACGAGTCACCTGTATGTCTTTGAACTGTGGGAGGAAGCAGGAGGACGTGGAGAAAACCCACACAGGGAGAAAGTGTAAACTCCACTCAAAACGGCCAAAACCAGCTAGCCTGTTTGAGATTTTTTTCTTTTCTTTTGTCAAAGCGACAGTGATAACCGTCCTGCAACGATAAAACTTATGAAGAAGTCAAATCTGTACAATATTTTAAAACAAACAGCTGGTCCAATCATTGTGAGACAATGCCCCCCATCTCAGATCCCTCATACGGTCAATGTTGCTCTTAAGACAAGTACGACAATTATTCTAAAACACAACCGATTGCACTGATTAAATACACACAGACAGAATGGCGCACCGGAGCGGCTAACTATTGGTTTCTCTGGTCCACCGAGGATCCTTTTCTTGCTCCTTTCAAAGTTTGTAACAGTCACTGTCAGTGCAAGTGAGGAGGTTTGTGACGTGGGACCGTCGGCTGTTGGATGCTGCAAACCGGAGGCAAAACAAAACAGGTGTGGATATTTACCATTGTGGACTGAAAACCAAATTGTTCCTTACAGCAGTAGTTTTCTTATTGCTCTAAAACTGTAAATTCATTAAATGGCAGCTTTGGACTTCAGTCCAAATTGTTATTAATTAATTAAACTCACTAAGAAATTAGAAGCATGGATGTTTTGTTTTTAAAGAATGACTCAAATAATAAAAATTAGGATCATGTGTATAAAAATCCAGTTTCCTTTAATTACTTGAATTAGTTTGTACACACCTCATAAGGCTTTTTAATGCATCGACTGTGCATGCATAAACAAAACAAATCAAACCCCCAAAAAAAGGCTGAAGTAGAACCAATTTTTACATTCTCCTGATTACTTGCTATTGAGCAGGGCTCACTGCCAAACCAGACGTTAACACAAACAAATCTTCAACACAAACGCCTCAACTGCAGTTTGTTGCTGGGCGTGACAGAAGAGGGAGCTGGACAATCAGCATAAAACCACACGTCACTGGACCAAAGATGGACACACTCACATCTGCAGAAGCTCAGTCAAAATGTGCAGCTACATGTTACACACCAGTGAGTGCATGCGTGTGGACACATTTAGTAATCAAAATGATGTAAATGCATTTGATCCCTCGTCTTTCAGTATAAAGCAGAATGACCACACAACTTTACATCTCACATAGTAGCCGTGAAGCCAATATATCTGCTGTGCTTATTATGCAGCTCAACTGGGAATTGTTTTCCTTTGAAAACAAAGCTATTTAAGTAGGGTCAAGAAATATATTGTTATATTGACTGGTGACGTGGGCATCTATCTAATTTGTAAAATTAGAGGTACAGACAAATTGCGTCATGTACCTGTTTCTCCTTTTTTGGTCACAGCTGGATCCGGATGGGGATCAAAAGAATGTCTAAACATGTTGGGAAAACTCTCTTATTTGCTGCCTTCCCTGTAGTTGGATGAGAAGATAAATAAAGCTGTTATCCATCCTCTCATCCAACCTTTGGTGATTGGTCACCAAACAACATCTGAACTACACGTTGGTGAATGTGAGCATTGATGCTGTCACACAAGCCTAAACGGCATCCCGTTAGAAAAGGACGAAATAACAAACCACATCGAACGGTCCGGCATTTGCATACACCGTCAGTAATACCCAAATGCCGGGGAACCTCCATAGTGGCATCCAGAAGGTGCGTTACATCAACTGCACATGACCTCATCTCTGTTGAATCCTCTTTCTTCTGTCCGAGCCAGCTGAGCCTGTTAAACAGACTCTGTTGGGCCGCAGTCTAATTGGACTTCATGACAGTCCTGGAAGTTGACAGGAGGCACTGTGGGAATCAGCGACGGGGAAAGGGGAGGGGAGGGGTGGGGGGTGTGGGGGTGAGACATTTCAGACAGTTTGTGACGTTTTCAAATTCCCGTTGCCATGGTCACTCCTGGCTCGCAAGCTGCGACCCGTGTCGGCGGGTTCCTCCTCGTCCTCCGGATCGAGCTGCTCGCCTTTCTTCTTGACGTAGCGCTCGTAGAGCACCATGACGATGCCCATCACCCAGGCCGACACGGTGCCAGCGGCGAAGATGACGAAGCCGATGACCACAAAGAAGAGGTAGTCCCAGGAGCCCAGAGTCTGGTGACATAACGTCCGTAGCTGGAGGCCCACCTCGCCCAGACGACGACCCTGCAAGTCAGCGGGGGAGCCGCACACCGTCTGGCCCTCATCTGTCACACACAGGCCGCACATCAAGGGGGAATGATTAAGGGTTGACCACGGCTCAAAGGAACACTCATATGTTGTTGTTGTTGAAGTGCGGGGTGACAAATGGAACACTGGAAGACGAATGTTGTTTTTCCTCCATACATAACAATCGCAGCCATGTCCCGGAGTGACATCGCACACACCACTAAGTCATCTTTATCTGGACCGCATGTGCGTCATGACGTTAATCCAGGACAGTGGCCTTCTTGATACAGATGTTTTAGTTAGTAAATCTGCATCTGGTCTTTGTTAAAATAGTGCTTTTGTTTCTCAAAGCAAGAAAACCACATGTAGACTTAATTCATGTTAATGTCACTGAAAATCTGGCTTTCATGGGAAATAACCGAAACAGTTTTAACTTTGGAAGAATAGAGTATTCAAATAGCACCCTGTCAGAGTAGGAAGATGATTTTCCATTTAACCGCTACTCTCAATTGCGAATAGCAAGCAATTTTACTTAAATGTAACAAACATATACAAAATAATTAACATACATCTTTGCTGTCATTTTAAGGATCCCTTGATGTGGTGAGAGTCATAATAATGCACAAATGTTAAGAGCTCACGAACAAAGCTAAGAGACGTAAACGCCGAAGCACTAGTGTGACGACTTTATCAGAAAAGTACTTGGCTTTTGCAGCTTCACATGTACCAGCGTCCTGGGTTGGTGCGGAATTGAGTTATGAATTATTCAAACTCCTTTCTTCTCCACAGGATTAAAGATTGACTTGGGCCTTTGTGTCTGTCTGAAACGGAAGATAATGAGGTTGCGTATCGTCAGTGGCCGCGTACGGATACGATTAAGACCTCGCTGGCATCCCCAAATCCTACTAAGATACGTTGACTTCCTCCTCTAAAAAGGCCTCTCCGTCAAATATGTCACGCGACGGATGTTGAGCTCCGCAGCAGCTGACGAGAGCCAACAATCCCGAAGCCTCGCTCAGTCTTGTATTAAACATACAGCACAACAGTGTTGCCGTCGCCATACGACCACTGTTTTTAATTGGCTTCTTGCGTTTCAACGCTGTTGTGCAAGGGCGGTTGGGGGGGGGGGTGTCCCACCGGGGGAGATCAAAAGATTTGGAGGTTTCTGCACAGGGAACAGTTTTTTTTTGAGACCCCATTTCACAACAGCCTTAAAATGTGCATCCTCATTGTGCTGGCATATTATGAAAACGCTTGTGCATACATGTAGAACAAATGAATACTGACACAGAAGCATCTGCTCGGCCTCTCTGCCCGCTGCAAGGTATTTTGGAGAAAGTTGAGAAAGAGTAATTGTGCAGTGATTGTGTTGTATTTTCTTTTTTTCTGAGTTTGATGTTAAAGGTATAGAATTGCTTAAAATTTCACTCATTTCTTGTTTTGTAAGAAACACAATCACTTCACAAAAAACATCCTTTACAACAGTGGCTCCAAATCCTTCAATGACAAACTTCAGTTCACTTCCCCTCATGTTCCAGATGTGTCCATTTAAAATTATTTTAATGGATGTTAAGTGACGCAGCAATTAATGGAACTGAATAGTCCATGTTTACATTTACATGTGTTGCCATTTATCCAAAACTTGTGGCCAACTATTATACATGTGATTGTTGCTTTAATTGGAATCAGAACCACATTTCTTGCAAAGTATGTTGTATTTCACTTGTCGAGATGGTGCAACCAATAGACACAAATATGTACACAATAAGTGCACAGGACAAGAATAATGTTTTAATATACTAGTCCAGTGTATTTTCAATATTAAATAGAGCAAAGATAGATTGTGTAAAATTCATTCCTGGAGTGCAGGAGGGGGGAGGCGGAGTCAGCGGGGGCTTTATTTACCCATGCACGTAATGTGGCATGTGCTGTAAGTACTTGACTCCGAAGGAGCTCCTCTGAACCAACTCATTCACTGGTTCATCCTTTCACTTTAGATCGTTATATGAACTATTTGGTCATTACTTTTGTGTAATTATTTCAGACGTTTATCCTCTTTCAGCTGTCCATCTGATCCATATTATTTTGGCCGACTATGGATAACCTCTGCCACTAGTTTGCATGCTCTCTCGGAACCAACACGTGGTGCTGAGGTGTTAGAACTGACTCAGGCTGGTGGGAGGTGTGATTTGACAGAAGGTGACAGCATCGTTCCGTAGCTTTCAATCAAACAGCTCAACCGACAAGTTAATTTAATCGGACGACAAAAATGGACTTTTGTCCCGTGTATTTTATTCATTCGCTGCATGCATCTACGCTCTGTATCTCAGCCTCTCTGGTGGCTCCCGGATCTGAGAGCGAGTGTTGCAGCTGGCGAACATGAGGGCAGTCGGCCTCTCAGAGCTGCTACATCTACTACCCATAATTCAAAGTGTACTCTGATCCTCTCAAAGGCTGCTGCTGTGCACTGTTCACACAATATGCTGTAATAGAAAGACACACATCCATGCATGCACAGATGCACACACCCTCTTATCATATGCACAATTCCCCTCTATTGGAATTTTATACGTCTGCCCTTGCAGGGTCTGCTAATGTGTGCGTGCATGTGTGTGTTTGTGTGCGTGTGTTTGCATGTTCCTGACAGCGAACGAGGAAACCCTTCTGGCTTCACCCCCCTCCCCCTCTCCTTCTCCCACCCTCCCCCTAAGAGACGGCCATATCAAAGAAGAGGGCTTTCCCTCCCTCCGTCCCCCATCCGCACGCCACTCTATTTCTAGACATTCTCCTTATATAACAACTAAAAGAGTGTTAATCTAGCCGGGAAGGCGAGACAGAGCAGAATCTGTTGGTTCCTTCCTGAAGCTTCATCGCTCTGCCGCTTGCCGCGCGTTTCACTAACCAGAGGAGACAAGCAAGGCCGCGGTGCATGAACCAGGTGAGACCCAGACAAGAGTTAACGGGGCGTTGGAGACGAAGCTCGCAGCTGAAACCTGAGGCGCCTCCAAAATATAACCCACTGTTTTCCGCCATGACAAATAAAAGTGTGTGTTATTGGGGGGGGGGATGCATGAGTCAGTGAATGCCAGGGAAGAGATTGACAGACTGTGTGTATAACCGAGGTAGAGAACGTGTGAGTATCTCTCCTCTCCCCTGCTGGCAGCTGTCACTGGAAGAGGCTCCACTCCAAATTAAGTGACACAAAAGGCAGCGAGCAGCAGGGAAATAGGACAGATCTTGTTTTGGACTCGGCCTAAGACGCACACAGGGACTGTGGCAAACTATAGTACGTGTGTGCGGATGCCTGTTTTTAGTCAGCCTGGCGGATGTGTTGTAGCTATGGCGTTAGAATTACGGAGGGCTTCTTGCTCAGTAAGACACACTATAAATAGCAGCTGCCCTTTTGCATAGTGACACATCCACACCAAAGTATGAGCAAAATACCTCAAACGGAGAAAGAGGGTTGAGTATCAGTCAAATCTATTAGCTTGACAGCGATAAAAGACATTTATATTTCATGGTGGAACCGACACATTAACTACATCTGCAAGATCGCTGAATAAAACAGAGCTCGATTAGTGAAGGTCTTTCTGGTTTTCCTCCCAAAGTGCAGGATACTGAATTAATGAGCAGCAACAGAAGCGACATTGAACGACTCCCGGCCTCTGATCTTCTCTCCCGTCTGCTATTTTATAGTCTGAATGCTGTCACGCTCACCTGAGCACATCTCGCCCCACTGAAAGCTGCGCAAGGGTCCAACTTTGTAAACTTCTCATGTTTATTCTTCTTCTCCACACACCACATATTTTGCACGACACACTGTACCACATGATGTTACCATGAGGTGACATTTGTTGGAAAAGTTTTTGAGGGGAATCGAAACAACGATGTCCTTTTTCTTTTTAATTGGCACCAGCATTTAATGAATCACCTTTTATTATGTGTTTGCAGAACAAATAGTGAAAATATATTTTGCGAGTCTTTATGAATTTTAAACTAGAATGAACAATGTATGGTTGTGTTGTGAAAAATCTTTCTGGGTGATACATGGCTGTGGTCCCAAACTGTGACCAAATTTACTTTTAAAAACTTGAAGGCCTGTCTCAAAAAGGGCCCCTGAATCAAATCTGGTTTTAGAACCTTTATTTATTCAGTTTTGCTCTTTGTTGCTTTGTGTCCTAAAATTAAAAATGTTAAGAAAATTAACATCAAATCATAGTGAGTAAGAGGCCTTAAGTCAGAGACTATTTTTGTCCTATAACGGTAAATTTGTCATCCCCAGTTAGTCCCCTTGATGGCACCTAACTGCTGTGCATCAGTATATGATTCATCAAACCTCTCTAACCATTAATTATAATTTATAAATCTGTTTTAAATGATGTACTGTCAAAAAAAGGCACTAAGTTGTCTGCTTTTTCTATTGCTTTTATAACTATTTCTAAAATGTCTTTATCGCACTGTTGGTGTTAAGGCCAGAGTGTTTCTTTGTATGGAGGATAATAATTCATTTTTTGGGGATAGAGGAAGGTTATTGAGGGCAGCCACCAAATAACAATAGTTTACATAACGGGTATTAATAATTAATACCGAGCAGCAGCCTTGTTTTGTGATTTCATCTCTGGGGCCCGTCCGCTTGACATAAAGAGCAACAGGTCGTGGTGTGATTATATCTCGCTTACGTGACATTAGAAGACAATATATGAACAACTGATAAAACCTTGGAACTTGAAGCCCTCCAGGTGGACCCACAGGCACAAGTCCTCGTTGTCGCACTCGCAGCTCCACGGGTTTCCGCTGAGCCCCACCGAGCGCAGGGTGGGCAGCGCGATCAGGGAGGTGATGTTGACCGCCGTCAGGTTGTTCCGACTGACGTCCAGCACCTGGAGGGCCGCGTTTTCCACGAAGGCGTCCTGGTGAATCTCCGACAGCCCCGGGTTGTCCGTCATCCTCAGCATCACCAGGCTCGCCAAGGGCCCGAACGTCCTGTCCTCGATCCGGATCAAGGTGTTGAACGAGAGGTCCAGGTAGGCCAGCTTCCGTAGGTTCCCAAACGTGGACTCGGATATCTCCGTGAGGGAATTGTTGCTGCAGTCCAGGTACACCAGGTCAGACAGGTAGTTGAGCGCGAGCGGCGGCAGCTCCACGATGCGGTTGTTGGAGATGATGAGCTGCCGCGTGGCCAACGGCAAGTTGACCGGGAAGGTGGTCAGGTGCTGCCCAGCGCATTGGACCACCAGCTGGTCATCACACACGCACCTGTCCGGGCAGCCCGTGGAGAGCACCGGGGACGTGCTCACCGCCGCGGCGAGGAGGAGCAGGACTACGAGCCGCAAGGGTTGCGCGCTTGGCTGCGGGGCAAGACGCATGACACCGCCGACGGCTTCATCCACCCCGTTCGGAGAGAGTCAGGCGCGGTCACATTCTTCATCGATACATCCTCACCAGGCTGTTTGTCTCAGAAATAATTCCCGCAGAGGTCAAACCACACGCGTGCCCGTGGCAAAACTCTTGCGCGCAACGTCTCAGTTCATCCTGTCAACGGTCCTGGATCCGGCGCTCAATCCGCTAGCTGGAACTTGACAGACCAGACGCCTTCATGCTGTTACGAAGTTTACCTATTTAGCGGCGTTCTTCCGTCGAAACGAAGCTACTCGCACGCCGTCCGCGGTCACAACGTCCTCTCATGCTGTGCTGCTCGCGGTGGTCACGGTCAGTTCCCCCGCTACAATGTTGCCATCCTCTCTGTGCTCTGCGCAACTGAATCCAAATGTGGGTGTGCGTGTGCGTGTGTGTGTGTGTGTGCGTGTGTGTGTGTGTGTAGGGCACGGGTACTCGTGTCGGAACACGTGCCCCCGCCCCTATCGTTCTCACGCGAAGGTACAGTTAGTCAGGGGGCGTGGCTCCGGATATTTAGCACGTGAGGCTGTCGAGCCGCAGCGGGCACGCGCCCAGCTGGCAGGAGGAGCCGAAGTTTAGCGAGTGCACGCTCCTCCCCGGCCAGCGCAGACATTTCACTGTGTTTACTGAGAATACCACAATTCATATCGTTGTAGATTTTTAGATTTGTATTGTTTAAGTTTATTGTACGTGTCTTTATTTTTTGTAAAGCTATCCGTATTTTATGTCACTATGCTCCACGATTTCACACCGCCGTTATTATGAAAAAAGGCACATTTTTACAACCAGAGTACAGACTACGTTCGCGTGCACGCGCGAGACTGTCGCGCTCTCCTGCAGGATGTTTGGTTTCTGGAACACAGTGTTCAAACGGCACAAACACCCCACGTTCACACCTTATTTGTGGGGGTTTTCACAAAGTCTGCTTGGTCTGTGTGTGCGCATGTGACAGAATTGTGTGTAGT